TTTATTTATTTCACGGAGAGAGAGGGAACACAAGCAGGGGGAGTGGGAGAGGGAGAAGCAGGCTCCCCACTGAGCAGGGAGCCCGACGCGGGGCTCGATCCCAGGACCCTGAGATCATGACCCGAGCCGAAGGCAGTCGCTTAACCGACTGAGCCACCCGGGCACCCTATTGTCTCCTTTTTCTATAGTAAGAGATTTTTAGTGGGCTCATGGTTGCCTAAATGAAGACTACATTTCCCAGACTCCTTTGCAACTAGGTATGACAGATGATGGGGCTCCAGCCGATGGCATGGGAACAGAGAAAATTTTTAACGACTTCTAAGTGCATCCTTAAAGGGAAGGAAGTTTGCCTCCTTCCTCACCTTCCTGATCCTGCTGCCTGGGATGTGCTGATGGTACTGACCGTCTCAGGCCAGGCAAGTGAATGGTGGCAGAGCAACAAGATAGAAGGAGTCTGGGCTCCCAGAGGTCCTTTCAGAGCTATGTTAGCTTTGGATGCCTCCATTCAAACTACTATATGAGATAAAAATACACATCTAAACATTTGCCTTGTTTATGCCACTGGCCCTTTGGGTCTCTGCACGGGTGAACCTATGTCTTAACTACTAACTACAGACATGGCAGTGGTCAGAGTGATTTTCACCAACTGATGAGAGTAACTGCTGTTTTTTTTTTTTAGTACTATAATGTATCTTCTGAATTTTTTTTTGAAGTAAGGCTGGATTACCTGGAGAGTTACAAAAACACTGTACAATAAAGTGCATCACTTTGAGCGTGCAAAGTGATTTCAGAGCAATGACCTGGGAGGTGGGTGGGTCAGGCATGGGCAAACCCACTAAGGAGACAGAATCACAGAGAGGATAGGTATTGGGAAAATGGCCCAGGCAGGAGTGGAAGGGTCAGGATGAAGTCCAGGCACTCTGACCAAGTCCCGTTCTGCTCCTGCCCCGCTCTATTTCACACGCGCCCCAACGGCACCTACCTGTGCACGTGAATCCGTCCCCTTCATAACTCAGGTTACACTCACACGTGTTGTTTTCCTTACACGTGGCGTGAACAGAACAAGGAGGCGTGCACACGGGGGGCAAGGCTGCAAACAAAGAGGTTACCATTCTTGCTGTACCTGTGGTGTGAGGACGCGGGATGCACCAAGACTCGCTGTCTGGCCTGTCCCCGTGTTTCAGAAGTGCCCCTTCTGCGGGAGGATACGGTGATTTGCTAAGGTTCCTCCCAGCCTGGAGATTCTGAGATTCCAGAATTACTCCGTGATATTAACACATTAACTCTGCAATGTTAGTCAGATTAAACGGTAATGTCACCTTTATGGGCAACCAGTTAAAACTTTATACCTCAACAAGGATACATTTGGCAGATTAGCTCTTTGGCCCTATGGGTATGGGGTCCCCAGAAGGAGATGGTTGAATTGGAGGAGAAATTCTATGGCCTTCTGAGAGCACCGCTCAGCTTGGGAGAAGTCTGGAGCTCTGGTGAGTGAATGGGGCGGACCAGTCAACAAGCAACGTGGAGCCACGGGGTGGTCAGGGAGGAGGGGAGGTGCAGGGATTCTGGGATCTCAGGTTGCTTAAGCCCAGAGGGAGAACTTAGTCATGCCCTCCTGCCCCTAGTGGTTCACAGTGGGTAATTCAACCTTCACATCTTGGACATTCCACCAGAACTCAGGGTTCAGGGTATACGGGACGCCTCAGAAAACTGGCTGCTCAGGAAGGATCTAGATCGTGTGACGAGGATCATGATTAACAATGATAATGGCAGCTCTTGTCAGCGCCTCTTCCCCTGCAAAGGGTGGAACAGGCACTTCTTTTTTATTTACTTATTTATTTATTTGACAGAGAGAGACACAGCGAGAGAGAGGGAACACAAGCAGGGGGAGTGGGAGAGGGAGAAGCAGGCCTACCGTTGAGTAGGGAGCCCGATGTGGGGCTCGATCCCAGGACCCTGGGATCATGACCTGAGCTGAAGGCAGACTCTTAACGACTGAGCCCCCCAGACACCCCCAGGCACTTCCTTTTGTGGATGAATGCATGGAGGCCCAGACCCGGTGCGTTACCCAGGACCATTCATCTAGTAACTAGCAGAACCAGGGGTCAGATCCCAGACTCCACAGAAGTGTGCATTTTCTGTGAAACCTACTCGGCCTCTGCGTTGGCACACGTCTGGGCCCGGGACCACGATCCTGAGGGACCACTCCTGCCCAGCCCTGTATTGTCTGCCTGAGCTGGGTCCTTCCATGATTGCACAGGACCGCATGCTCGTTTCGTGGGTTTGAGTTAAATCTTTTCAGCCAGTTTTCCCTCAAGTCCCCAAACCTCCTGAGGCCTGGGGCCACGTATCCAGATCGTCTTTTCCGTGTGGGAAAGGAAACGCCTGCTTTGTTGTTTTTTTCCAGGGGTCACGCAGACACCGCCCGCCTCCCCCCAACGTCAGTTGGGTGCTCCGGGAGGCCCTGCCGCAGTGCGGGGCTGCAGGGAGCTGCCCGCTCCCGGGACAGACCTGTCTGAGTGTTGCAGAAGCGGCCCGTCCACCCCGTTTCACAGAAGCACTGCCCGGAGCCCGTGGTGCCGTCATCACACTGTCCGTGGGCTGAGCAGCCGCAGACTGTAAAGCAAATTGGAGGGTGATGGGCAATCAGTGAGCAGGGATGGAAATCCAATCAGCCAGCTCACTGACCACCAGTTGGCTGTGTTGTCAGTGTGGGAGGACCATGCTTACGTCATCGTTTTCATTCATTCATTCAGAATAACATAGTCAGTGGCTAACATGGGCTGGACACAACTAGGCAATGAGCTGACCGTGAACCACATACACCATAAGGTTCCTGCTCTCGCGGGGCTTACAGTCTAGGAGGAACTGGCTTTCGAACATGTGGTTATAAACTTGGTGAGTGTTATAAACACAGAAGCAGAGGGCATCGTAGGGTATGTAACAGAATAGGAAGAGGACAGAACCTTATCGGGGGTCTCCTAACAGAGAAATCTATTTAACAGTGAAATCTTCAAGGTATGCACCAATTCTTTCTCTTCTTGCCACCCTGAGCACTATGCTCCTGGCCCAAGGCAGCCCCGGCTCTCACCTCTATTGTTGCATTCAGTTCCCCAGAGGGGACCCTGCTTCTGCTCTTGCTCTCTTACCGTGTGTTCGCCTTGGGGCAGCTGAAGCAATCCTTTCTAATCTGCTCAACGCACTCCGCCATTCACAGTCCTCCACTGGCCGCGCATTACGCTTAGAATAGATGAAGAGCTGTCTCTGGCCAAGAAACTCTTACGTTACCTGGCCCCTGGTGGCCTTCAGACTTCATTTCCTTCCTCCCCTCCTCTTTGCCCACTCTGCTCACCACCACTGATGCACGGCATGCCCACTTCTGCCTCGAGACCCTCGCATGTGCTCGTTTCTCTTCCAGGAGAGCCAGTCCTCTGCTCTGCGCTGCCCCGCACAGTAGCCCTTGCTACTACCTGGGGCTATGTAAGCTTAAGCTAATTAAAATTTAAAAAAATCAGTTCCTTGGTCACACATTTTGAGTGCTCAAGAGCCACATGTGGCTAGTGGCTCCCATTCCCGACGGGAGAGTTACAGAACATTTCCAGCACGACTGCAAATTCGTGCGCGCAGAGCTGCCGTTGGAGGTCCCCACGCCCACCCCCACCTCTTTGCAGTCTTGCCTCAAAAATGCCCGGTGTGAGATGTCTTCTAAAACAGTGCCTGCCTGCCTTCCGCATCCCCTTCACTTGCTTCTTTTTCTTTATACCTTTATAACCACCTTTGTTTCTGAGCGTATATTCCTTGAGAGTTGGGATCTGGCCCCCTCCCAACACCACTGTATCCCTACAACTTAGAACGTTTCCTGGCTTTTGAGCAAGTCACTTAGCCCCTTTGTGTCTCAGTTTCCACATCTGGTGAGTAGGGATAATAACAGTACCTCCCACAAAGGGTAGTTGTGAGGATTAAATGATAAAACATACCTGCCTGGCACATAGTAGGTGCTCCGTACACATTAACCGTAAACATGAGCGGTCAATATGAATAAGGACTCTAAACGCATGTTGGTTGAACGACTGAATGAGTGTTGTTCAGCCACCGCCTGTGTGGATGGCTGCAGGGGATGTGCACTGCACTTCTAGAGATGGGGCTCTTTCAGTGGATGGCAACTGGGAGTACATTCAGGGAGGGAAAAAGCATGTAGAGGCAGGCGGATGGGAGGTGGGTGGACGGGAGAGAGGAAGAGGGATGCTTCTGGGTCAGGCAGGTGATGCGGACGAGGACAGCACACGGCTGGACAAGAGGCTAAAGCAGGGGCAGTGGGCACCACGTACGCTGACAGTCAGGCCCGAATCTCCCTGGCAGGCACAGCTCGCACGCCGTCCCGTTGAAGCCCGTGTTGCATCTACACTCGCCTATACCCGAGTACTGATCGAGGCAGATACCACGGTTATTACAGGGCGCATCCGCTCCTCCAGGGCAGGCTGGAAGAGACGAGACAGCAGTGACTTAACAGTCTCCCAAGACCCAGAGCGGCTCAGCACCTTTGTTATGTGCTGCTGATCGGCCCTCAGCTGCAGGGCTCATCTGCATGAGCCCAGAGAGACCGTGGCCCTGGGGACACACCCACATAGTGTCACCAGAGGCTTAGGGCAAGCCAGTGGCCTCTGGAGCACGAACTTAAATGTATCTGATAGGATTCTACCGTGGCAGAGCAATATGCTGAACCATGCGTTGTATTTGGGGGTTAGGAGGCCTGGATTTGAATAGATCTGGAATGAATTTCTTGAAGCTTCAGTTCTTTTAGCTCTAGATGATGATGATGATGATGACCGAGACCACATTGTGACTGAGGATTAAATATGTTACTGTAGGGCGCCTGGGTGGCTCAGTCGGTTAAGCATTTGCCTTTGGCTCAGGTCACGATCCCAGGGTCCTGGGATTGAGTCCTGCATTGGGCTCCCTGCTCAGCGGGGAGTCTGCTCCTCCTTCTCCCTCTACCCCTCCCCCTGCTCGTGCTCGCTCTTTCAAATAAATAACATCTTTTAAAACAATGTTACTGTAACTGAGAGCACTTTGAAAACATAAAGCACTGAGCAAACGTAAGGGACGCCACTGATTTTTGTGCACATTTAAGTGATGGAGTGTGGGTACTGGGTAATCGTGTGTACTCTCAGCCCAGAATTTTCTCAACTGGACCACAGTGAATGGAGGACCCATGGTGGTTAAAACCATGGCTTCTGGGGACACTCTGTGGAACCTTGGGCTTGCTGCTTAGCCTCTCTCTGCCTCGATTTTCTCATCTGTAAAGTGGGGATAACAATGGAATCTACTTCTTAGAGGTTGTTGCCAGGGTTAAATGTGTTGTTATATATGGGAAGTAGCATGCAATAAATGTGCTTAATTAAAACAATGTGTGGCCAATGGGAAGTGCCATGGCATTTGTCATGATTGGCCAGAAGTTCTATCTATACACCAAGATTTCAGGATGGGCCTAAATGTCCTTTGGCAAGGAGTCCTTTCCTGGTGAGGCAAGAGAGGGAGGTGATGTCATACATCCCATAATGGGGTGGGGCGTCCAGAAAACAATGGCCCCCAGACCTCATATTAGCATAACGTCCTGCCAAGGTAGAATTCTATGCATTTAAACTCATGTGCTCATCAGTATCCTGGACTAGCCTCAGAAGTGAAATACGGTGTTTCTAGCACCATGGGAAATGTCTGATGCTATCATGCTGAGCAAAAAAGCACAACACAACGACAATCGATGCACAGGAGAGTCTCAGCTCTGTAAAAAACAAAATACGACACAAGGAAAAAGTAGAAGGAAAGCTACGCAACTCTTTAGAATGATTGCGGATCTTTTCTTAGAGGGGTTACCGGGAGCAATGCATTCCGACGCCCCCTCCCCCACCCCTGCTTTACAGCGTCCGTACTTCCGATCGCACAATCCTTTCAGAATCGCGAGGTGGTAAGAGGCGCCCTCACCCTGACAGTCTCGCCCGAAGTAGCCCTTGCAGCACCTGGGGAGCCGTATCACCATGGTGCACTGCTCCCGGCAGCCTTCCAGGTACCCTTTGAAGGACATGTTGTATCGACACTTCTCCTTCACGCCCTAAAGGAAGAAAGCGCACTAACCCTCCGCCTTCCACCGCCCGGACTTGGGCTCTTTGGCTCTAGTCCGCCCCCAGCGGAGGATCCTGGTACTGCCCAAATTGAGAATGGGACTCCATGGCCCCCGGAGCCCTTTACAAGGAATTCTTTTCTTAGGGGTGTAGATAGGCAGATGGATGGGGGAGGGGGCAGAGCTAGAGTCCACAGAAAGATTTCTCCGCAGTCTTAAGAGGAAGGACTTGCTGACCCTTAGAACTGTTGGCAAAGGGTGCGGTTTCTTGGGGAGGGAGTGGGGCAGAGAGGGTTTCCATGGGGGAGGGTCTTCTGTGGTAAGGCCCCCAAATCATCAGTAGGGAAGGAATAGTTCCATTTTGTTTGGCAGGCGTGTTTTTTTTTTTTTTTTAATTCAAGGGGTGTTTTTGTTAAGAGGTTTTACTATAGAGTAGAGGGAAATTGGCTTTGGGATAAGTAAAAAAGCAATATTTAATGAGTGCTTACTATGTGCCAGGCTCTGTACCCACATTTTAAAATGCATTTTACCTAATAGCCACACACAGAATGGTTATTAGTTCCATCTTACGGAGGAAAAACTATATAGATTATGTAATTTGCCGAAGATTACCCACTGGAATTGGATCCCATAGCCGTGGACTCCAAATTTCACTGGCTTAACCATTACTCCTACGTTGCTTTCTGGGCCCTAATTCTAGCTTTGCTCCTTATTAGCTCTGTGGTCTTGGCCTAATTGCTTACCCTCTCTGAGATACATTTTTTTCCCCATAAGTGGAGGAAATAATAGCTTCCTATGAGAGTTATAATGAGGGGGTAATGTATAATAAATAAAGGGCCCAGTGCACAGCCAGGGACAGGGATAGCAGCCAACAAAATGCAGCTATTATTTGTATAATTATCATTATCTTTGAAGTCCCTTTTAAGTCTACAATCCACGATTTTTCTTGACAGTTCCTAGAAGGTGGGTACTGGGTTGACAGGTTGCCTGGGCTCAATGAGGCTAAGGATGCCTGGTTGTCGAAAGAATGAGGCCAATTGCAGTTATACAACAGACCCGCAAATGCACACCCATGCACACACACTCACACCTACCAGAATACTGGGGTCTGATAATGGAGCAAACATTGCGCTCCAAACATCATCACTGCATTCATAAGTACCTTTGGTTTACTCCACCTCGGGCAGCTGGGGGTATTGGCACAGCTCCAACAATCTCCCTAGTATGCAAGAAAAGAAATGCTTAAAAATCAAGAATATTGGGCAACCCAAGGATATGCCCCTGGTTAATGCCTTGGAGAGTTGACAAAGAACTTAATCTTGATTAAAATTCTGGCTCTGATCAAGAATGCAAAAGCAAGCACACTGCGACTTTGCCACGGAGGATTCTGAAGGTCTGTCTTGGCCCTCAACTCCTCGGTTTTTGTTGTTTGAGGCGAAGGGTTCCCTGCTATACAGAGCTGGACCAGGGCGGGCAGTGTCCTTCAGGCATCTGGTCCAGTGGCAGTGGGAAATGTGCCCACTATAAACCAGCTAGGTTACTTCTGGCCAGGCACACTCTTTGACCCTCAGTTTTCTGATCTACAAACTAGAGACAATGATTCTCGCTGCTATTTGGTCTTCAGGGGACTGCTGATGGAAACTATTAACTGCAAAAATGTGTGCAGATATACTTTGGAAGTTAAGAAGGCCACAACCTCTACAGCAGGAAGGACAACTGGTTTTTCATCTCCTACTTTGGCTGCCTGGTATCTCCAGAACTTGGGGTATTTCTTGAACCCCTAGACGTTGCCAGGCACCCAAGCCAACCAGTTCCAGAATTGGCCATGCAAACCACTTCCCCTCTTTGAGACTCAGTTTCCAAATCTACATCACAGAGTTGCTGACAACAACTTCTATTGTTGGATTCCTTTAGGGGTAAGATGAGCATTGAGCCAAATGGCTGGCTCCAAGGTAGTACTCTAACATGATACTGGACAGGTGAATGAGTGTGAAATGACAATGCCTCATACAAGCAGGGCCCAGGGTAGACATTCAATCACTGTTGTTAAATGAACGAATGAATGAGTAAATCAATGGCAGTGTGGGTGGCATATAATACTAGGTTGAACCCTATGAAGTTGCCATTTTTGTAATCATACCCTGCCAAATATGGCAATTTTATATGGTCTCATCTGGCAGAATAGCAAAAAATGTTTGTTGAAGGAATGGGCAAATGATTGAAGAGATAGGTGGGTTTGAAAAGAAATAGCTTGTTGCAGGATAACGGGCATGCAGTTGGTACCCAGCAACTCTTTCCTTAATGGCGAGGGGATGAATGGACAGGTGGGCTGGTGGGTAAACGGGAATGTGCCAGGCCTGGGCAGGGCTAAGTAGATGCTTGTGGGTTCTGAGTCTGAAGAGCACCATCATCTGGCCCTCAGATCTTGTGGGTCCCAGGCTCCCTGAGGACCAGCCCTCAGTGGTTTCACGGCAGAGACCATGCGGGATCGTGAGGGCTGAACCCCAACCATCTCCTATTATGGTACTGTTTTGGGGACTGACCGAAAAATTGTATGTGGCAAAAGTGTCACAGTGACCCCCGAGGGTGGGGTCAATCAGGAAGCAGTCAATGCCGTAGGCCACACCCAGGTCAAACAAGAGTTCTCGCTGCACAATTCTGCATGTTTGGTCATTCAGGAAGAGCTCGCCCTGCGAGGGGGGAGAGGAGAGAGAAAGAAAACAGTCAACAATCCTTCTCATACTTCTCTTCTTCCTAAGGCCATCTAAGGCGGCCAGCACCTGCAAGACTCAGAAAGAAGTGTGTGTATATATATATATATATATATATATATATATATATATATATATATATATATATATATATATATAAATTCTTATAGATATAAGATATATACAGCCAACAGCCAGCATGTATTATGTGCCGAGTATATATATATATATATATAAATGTATATATATAAATTCTTATAGATATAAGATATATACAGCCAACAGCCAGCATGTATTATGTGCCGAGTGATGCTGTGTACCTGTGCACTTCCTTTCATCCTCACAGCACCCTCGAGGACAGCAACTATTACTAGGGTCCCTGTTTAGAGATGAGAAAACGGAGACAGGAGAGGTTCCATCCCTTGCCCCAGGCCCAGGGGTCAGGGAGGGGTGGTGTGGGCACGCCTACCCAGGCCGGCAGCCTCTGAGCCCGCACTGGGGCCCCTCTGTCACGCGGCCTCCAGCAGAGTAGGAACAGGGGCAGCGGGGGTGACAGGCTGGGTCACGTGGCCACTTCCTGTGCAGTAGTGTTTTTTTTGTTTTTTTGTTTTTGTTTTTGTTTTTTTTAAAGATTTTATTTATTTATTTGACAGAGAGAGACATAGCGAGAGAGGGAACACAAGCAGGGGGAGTAGGAGAGGGAGAAGCAGGCTTCCCGAGGAGCAGGGAGCCCGATGCGGGGCTCGATCCCAGGACCCTGGGATCACGACCTGAGCCGAAGGCAGACGCCCAACGACTGAGCCACCCAGGCGCCCCTGTTTTGTTTTTTTTACTTCATGCTAGCTTCTAGCCAAGTGTGGCCACGACCTTTTTTTTCAGGATATACAAGTGATGGGCTGTAACTCTATAATGATGACTTCTTTTCACATGTACTAGGCATTGTCTAAATTGTGCTTTAGAGACATTAGAACTTTCTTCCTTAGGGTTCACCCAGCTAGTAAATTGTTGAATACATCTCCACCCACCCCCGGAGGAAGCAAAATGCATTTAGAAAGTTCTGGGGTGGGGGGGAAGATAAATCTCAGCATCTATTGTTGGGATGGACACAGTGTGATTAGTGGCAAGAGCACTGGGAAACTGGTTAAATCCTCCACCTCCACTTATGTGCTGTGTGACCGTGAGCGGGTTACTGAACTTCTCTGAGGTTTAATTGCTTTCACCAGGTGAATAGGATTAAGGATTCCATTGCATAGGGTGGTTATAAAGCTCAAACTAAATAATACATTGCCAAGTGCTCTGAAAGCTCTATTAGCACCCGAATGAGCAGTGGACATTCTTGCTATACTTCTTCGATAGGTGTCCAGTTTGATCTATGGAAATAGTACAGCTAATCTCAAGAGGGTAAGTATGTTGGAATAACCTTCTAGAAGTTGGACTGTAAAGATGCTAACATTTCTCATATTCAGTTTATAAATTCAATGCAACTCCACTGCAAACAGCAAAGGGATTCTGGGTGGTCATAAGCTATAAAGAGAATGTTGTCTGGCTCTTCTAAGAAGGCTCCTTGAAGGTCGTAGAGCAAACAGAAGGCCCTCCCCCAGTGAGCCATCATGCTAGCTCTGGCTTGGCCGCCTCCAGATTTCTTCTTAAAAGACACACGCCCTTATGTATTTAAGCCACTGTCATTGTGGGTTGTCTGTGATATGCAGGATACAGGATGTGGCTACGTTATCCCATCAGACCCATTCCTTATATGGTATTTCAGGGAGGCATTATGGTTCAGGAACTAGCCCGGGAAGGTGAAAATTGTGAACTTTCTCTCTGTTGGCTGATCTTGGTAGATACAGCCCAGAGCTGGCTCTCACTGCCAATAAGGGGCCAGAGGTGAGGCTGTAGGGGGGCTGGGATGGAAGGCAAAGGAATGGCAGTGTGCTTTCCTGCTTCAGCGGAGTGTCTCACACTGCAAAATATGCTCAAAAAAAAAAAAAAAAAAAAAATCAACCCAGAGCTGCTCCCCACAAGTGTAAAGGGTGGGGGGCTCCCTAACACCTGCTACCAGGGCTTGTGCTGGGCCAGGATTTATCAGGTTCTTCGTATCTAAATACCCACTCTGAGCATAATACCCCCAAAGGCAGCCAGAGAAAAGAGCTAGCTGTCAACCGAGGGAAAAATGAATATTCCCTTGAGGGGGCGGTGGCTGGGGACTGTTGTGAATACTCACGATGTCACCGCCAGCTCCGCACGTCACACCCAGCTCTGAGCCTTGCAGGGTCTTCCAGGCAGTGGCCCTGGGGAGATCCACCGCTAAAATCTGTAGGAGAGATGGTGCCACGTTAATACGCCACATCTGGGCCGCAGAGGCGCCCAAAGGAGCTTTGCCAGCAAACCAAATCCAGACACAAGTTTTTCCAGCTTTAAAATGACGGCAGACATAATCAAAAGGAAGACTCATCATGGGCTCTCGAGGAAACTGGAAATTCTTTCTGTAGGGAAAGTCTCCTCCAGCTGGGCTAGTTTCAGTCACCCCTCTGTGCCTCCTCTATGTTGGGGGGTCCACGGCAGATGCCGCCACATAGGTGTATGAAGCCAATGACAGGATCAGTGGGTCAGGGAAATGGCATAGGGTGTGGTTATGGGTTGAACTGTGACCCCCAAAAAGTTTTTTTTTTAAAGATTTTATTTATTTATTTGAGAGAGCAAGAATGAGAGAGAGTACATGAGAGGGGGGAGGGTCAGAGGGAGAAGCAGGCTCCTCGCCGAGCAGGGAGCCCGATGCGGGACTCGATCCCGGGACTCCAGGATCATGACCTGAGCCGAAGGTCATCCTGACCCCCGTTACCCCCGAATGTGACTTTACTTGGAAATAAGGTCATTGCAGATGTAATTAGTTAAGATGAGGTTACACTGGAGTCGGGTGGGCCCTTGGTCCAATAGGACTGGTGTCCTTATAAGAAGAAAAGAGAAGAAGAGAACGACATGTGGAAACACAGAAATACACAGGGAGAGGACAGCCATGTGACAAGAGAGGCAGGGACTGGAGGGATGCATCGACAAGCCAAGGAACACCAAGGATTTCCAGCAACCACCAGAAGCTAGGAGAGAAACATGGGACGCATTCTCCGTCTGAGCCTCCAGAAGGAACAACCTTGTCAGCACCTTGATTTCAGACTTCCCAGCCTCCCCACCTCTGAGGGCATACATTTCTGTTGTTTCAAGCCACCCAGTTTGTGGTTATTTATTATGCAGCCCTAAGACGCTAACACAGGTCCTGTGACTTAGCCAAAGTTAGGGCACTTGGCCTTCTGGGCTTAGACAGACTCACTCCTGGAGAGAGACATGGGTCCTGGTTGAGGATGCACGGTGACAGGGTTTCAGCAAGAGCTGCCCACATGCCTACAAGACCTTGCTTCCCTGGTCACGGTGGGTCCATTCAGGGGTGAACCGCTGATTGCACCTGGCTGAATCAGCCCTTTGCCTAGAAATTTTGGAATTGGGGGAGAATGAGCCCACCTGGACACACTTGGGAGCTGTTGCCAACGGCCACTTGGCCATGTGACCTGGGGCAGAGGAATGATGCTCCTGGATACTGGTTAATGTTAGAAAAAAAAATAATGGTCGGAGAAATGATACATGCCTGGCACACCGTGGGCGTCAATTAACCCACCAGTCAGAGGAGGACAGAGTGGGACAGGGGCTGCTCAGGTCTCCTTTGCACCTCGGAGGTGGAGACACACTGACCATTCCTGGAATGGACCCCATCTCTATGCAAACGGAATACCTTGGAATCTCGAATCACGTGGAACTTCAAATACTCCTTCAGCTTGTCCTTGTTGTCTTGGTTGAACAGGAAATCCTGTTGTTCGGGGGGTAGGGCTTGCAAGGCTTGGTCGCTGGGCCAGAAGACAGTGACCGGAGTGTGGATAGGGTCAGTGATGACGCCCAGCAAGCCCACATCCTGAAACACAGGGAGTCGGGTGCGTGCACAGCAAAGCCCAGCCACGGGGTGAGGCACGGCGTCTTTCTGAGGCCCAAAGCCAGCCGGGGTGGGGGGGATCCCCTTCGTGCCTACCCTGGGGGCTTATTGGGACTCCAGCTGGTTCAAGGTTGACAGCTTGAGACTAGAGGCCCAGCACACCTCAACCATTCTGACCCTCATTATCTTAGATTGCAAAACAGCCTGCCAAATTCTGGGCTTTTGTGAGTAGAAAAAGAACCTTTAACAAGTACCTTTTTTGTTTGTTTGTTTGTTTGTTTGCTAGTATTGCCCAAATATTTTAATTTCTGGACGACCCCCTTAGCATTTTCCCCGTATTTCACTTAAAAAAGTGAAACTTACACAATATTGAGATACTCCTATGTATTTATAAGATTTCTAGCTCACATGGACTCAAAAAAGAAATGGCCAGATAGGTGGAGGGGAATCACTCTGAGAGCGTTCTATAACCTGGGTGCATCATGTCCATTAGTCCTTGTCCAATTTTCCCAGCAGCCCTATGAAGTAGGCTTTATTATTCCCTTCTATTGAGCCCCAGAGAGGTTTGCTAACTTGCTATCAAAGCAAGTTCTGAGATGCTCAGGTGTGGGGGTAACTATAAGGTTTTTGGGCTGGGTGAGCTGGCCAAGATACTTGCCTGTAACCTCCCTGGAGAGTCTCATTTTGAGCACCCTGAAATCTCCATTTCTGAAAAGCCCCCCAGAGAGTGAGCCTTAGGCCATTTTGGAAATCGCTGGTTTGTGCAGAGGTTTGTAGACTGTGCCTCAGGGGTGGGGGATGGGGTGGGGGGCTGGGACATCTCAGGGTAGGTGGAGGAGAGGGGACCTTGGAGGACCCTGTCCCTCCCTGATTCTTTTCTGAAATCTTTGTCTGAACAAGAAGTTTCTCTACTCAATTTGTGGGAAAAGTGTCTGAAGTGAGAAAGATATAGTTTTAAGTGCAATTTCTATTTATGCCACAGGTGTCGATTTTCCACATCTGCCCCTCGGCTTGCCCATTTCTATCATGGAGGCCATAATTCCAGATGTGAAACACCTATTTCAGGGACAGGTACACTCTAATTCCTTTCCCTTGCTCCTGTCTCAAATACTTCAGTGTCTAATTCAGCCAATGTACACTGTATAGCTGAACAAACCCTACGCTATCTGGGGAATGGAATCGCAGAGCATGACTTCGCTCTATAGAAAATCAGGACTTCCCGACACAAATCCCAAGACAGCTGGCTAGCGCCCCAAATAAAACACCAAATGACAAAACAAAACAACAACAAAACTCCCCCAAACAAAACAAAACAAAACAAAACCCTCCAAAAAACCAAACACCTTAGGCAGGTTACCCCCTAGGTCTTTACCTGTAGTAGGTTGCTGAATTTGGTGTAGCCATGGTTTGTTGCTACTGTCGTAAGATTTTGCTGCAAAGATAATAAGAATAGGAATGACACTTTTCTTCATACAGTTCACAAAGCACTTTAACAAAAGCGCAACCGAATAGAATGAGGGTAAGCTAATGCGCAGGTACTGTGGATTGGCTCATCAGCACCCACCCCAGCTCCGAGGTACCCTTTCTGTGTTACAGAGGCTGGAGGGCTATGCACTTCATTTTCCCAGACTGCCTTGCAGCTACAGCCTCCTAGGTGATAGAGCATCCAGCAAGCACAAGGGTTTTTACCAGACTTATTGGTGGAAGGAAACCACCTGAGGTGGGTGTGACTGCGAGGAGGGAGACTCTGACTGGCCCAATGGGGGAGGCATCTGGTGTTCAGGCTTGCATGCTGCAGGTGCTGAGGCTGGATACAGGTCAGGACAACCCCGTGGTAAGGTCAGGGCTCCTCCCTTTACGGGTCTCCCTGAGCTGCTTTGCTCCCAGCTGTGTAGCATCTGGCTCTCTGGCTTTCTTAGGGATTTGGTGATAAACTTAGTATCTTAAGGATCTCCTTTTTGTTTAAGTTAGGTATAATGGGTTCTGTTGTCTACAATGAAAAACCCTTGCCAAGACTAATAAATAGCAATAAAATTCAAAATTGTCTTTTCTTTCAATTGAAAAGGAGTTTTACTCCAGGTTTGGTTTGAGTGATATCTATTTATCTATCTATCATCTATCTTTCTTTTTTTTTTAAGATTTATTTATTTATTTTAGAGAGAGTGCATGTGGGCAGAGGGAGAGAGAGAGGGAATCCTCAAGCAGAGGCCCCACTGAGCGCGGAGCCCAATGCGGGGCTTGATCTCACGACCCTGAGATCATGACCTGAACCAAAATCAAGAGTCGGATGCTTAACTGACTGAGCCACCCAGGTGCCCCATATCTATTTATCTTTCTACCTATCATCTGTGTAATTTCTCCATCTTCCAGTCCTTGTAGAAACTAAAGAAAAACTTATAAAATCCATTTATCTAATTAGACTTTTACCTATTTACTTCTTTTAGAATATTCACTAGGCTTTTAATAGTAGCTTGAGACTGAAGCAGCAAAATTAAAATGTCTCAAAATGATGGCTTAAAATCAGAATTGTGATAATAAATTATGATTATTATGGGTCACTCTGTGCTGAGAGTATGACAATGAGTTCACGCACCAGAATCCTTCCAGAGGCACCTTTGGGGGTGATAAGCAAGTTTTGGGGAGACAGCAATTTGTCTATGATGTGGATGATTCCATTGGTACTGATGATATCACTGGATATGATCTTAGCCTTATTATTTATATAAACTGTGTCCTGAAATTAACCAAAAAAAGAAAAAAAGAAATGAGCACAAAGAGAGACATGAAATTACTTCTTTCAGAATGCTTTTACCAACATGCTAACTCATCATGAAAGTGAACGTTTAAGTAGAGCTGTGGGCAAAATCTGAAGATCCTTGAGCCCATTTATTTATTATGATTATAAAAAGAAAACTGAGACAAGCCTGTAATCTGACCTGCAGAAGTTAATAGCAGAAAACCAACCACAATGGTCATTTCACTGTGATTCTCAAATATGAAATAACAAGCAGATCCAGATTGGCTCCTTTTTCACATGTGTTCTTTATACTACCTTCGGCCCCCACCACACACTTGTTTCTCTCTGCAATGGAGTCTACAGTCACTGCTTGTTTCTCTGTTGTGGGGAGCGAGGGGACCAGCATGGCCAAGTGGCTTTGGTCAAAAGTTTTCATCCCTGGCTGGCTCCTGACCAAAGCAGTTCTTTTTTTTTATTTTTTAAAGATTTTATTTATTTATTTGACAGAGAGAGACACAGTGAGAGAGGGAACACAAGCAGGGGGAGTGGGATAGGGAGAAGCAGGCTTCCCTCGGAGCAGGGAACCTGATGTGGGGCTCCATCCCGGGACCCTGGGATCACGACCTGAGCCGAAGGCAGATGTTTAACGACTGAGCCCCCCAGGCGCCCCCCCCAAAAGCAGTTCTGATGACCTCTTGAACCTCTGAGTTTCAGTTCCAGCGTGAATATTTACTTGCTGTGTGACCTTGGACAAGTTACTTAACTTCTCTGAGCTCAGTTTCCTAATTTGTAAATTGGAGAAAAGAATAGTATCTACATCATGGGATTATTTTGAGGATTAAATAAGTCAGTACACATCCAATACTTAAAATACTACCTGGCATATAGAAATCACTCAACAGGTGTTAGTTGTTATTACCACTATTACTCGTATTACTGTAAAGAAGAGGAGAAGAGAGAGGGGCATCTTCCTGATGCCCACCTGGTGGGTGGCCTCTCTTACCTGAGAGACGGAGATGACCACTGACTCCCCTTGGAGAGAAGTAGCATTTGGGATCAATTTCAGGTTTTCTAGAAGCAGCTGGTGACAGGCAATCACATGATAGCGAAGAACCTGGGCCATGAGACCCTGTTTGTCCCAGTCTTTAATCTGTAATAGAAGATGGGAGGGTTCCAGCCAGAGCCAGGAGGCTTTGCTGTCCCCTCCCTCATGCCCTCCCAGGGGCCTTTCTCCCCACCCAGACTGGGAAGGAGGCAGTCAGGGCTGGCAGATGGTCAGGGTTACAGGGTCCACGCTGTTCAGGCAGGAGGGAGACAGTGGCCCTCGTTTCTTCCCTGCTTCCAACGTACATTCTTAGCATGGAAGGGAGCTTGGAGTTCTCCTGACCCAGCATTTCACAACACATGGGCAGGTACCCTAAGTCCTTTGAGATGCTACTTGAAAAAAGACTTTTCTTGTGAAAAATGCTGCCCCTCTTGGAGAGGTACCTGGGCCGGATTCAAACTTCTAGTATGGAAAAGATCATGATACTTTTCCATGTGTAAATCAAAACACAATATTAACCATTAATAAAAAGTAGAAAAAGTAATAAAAGGCCCATAAGGTTCTCATTTTTCATGATCTCTCTTTCGATGCTTTTTAGAGAAAAACTATCAAATGTCAACATCTTTCAAGAGGTATTTGTGTGCCTCTGCTTACCTGGTGTCTAAAATATATGCATAGAGAAGCAGTGTGCAGAGTGAAGGACGCAGGCTCTGGAGTCATGTTTGAGTCCTTGCTCCACTAGTTGCTAGTCATATGGCCTTGGAAAAGTTACTTCTGCCAATGTCCTGGACTGTAAAATGGGGATAATAGCACCCAACTGACAGGGTTGTTGTGAACGCTAAATGAATTAATCTAGGCCAGGTGCTAGAAACAGTGTCTAGCACACTCAATAAATGTCTGCTACATTTTAATATGTTAATGGGTAATCCAGCATGAAGAGTCCCAGTGAATGTTAGAACAGTGAAGGCTCTGATAAGGTCCGCAAGAAAAGACTTATTTAAATTCCTTTAACTTTCTTTCTTTCTTTCTTTCTTTCTTTCTTTCTTTCTTTCTTTCTTTCTTTCTTTCGTCTATGGAAGGTTTGGATCATTTAAGAGTTGTTGATCTTTTCTAACCTCCTACCCTATTCAGAAATGTTTTTTAGTGGGCCTCTGGCCATTGCACCCCAAATCCACTTAAATCCTTTCCCTTTATAGGGGTCCCTATGCTGAGAGGCAGCCCATTCCATTGCTGATCAGCACTAGCTGATCCTAAGTCTCCTGCCCAGAAATGGCACCAGCATTGGTTCCAGGGTGACACCCAAAGACTGGGTTCCAGTCCCAAACCTCTTCTGCTTGCCTAGAGCTTCATGCTTACCCGAGGTTCCTCATCAAAGGCTGCAGATAAAGGTGCAAAGATGGTGAAGGGGCCTGGACCACTCAGGTCTCTCACAGAATGCTCCTGTGGGAAGGAAGGTGGGGCCACATGTCACCTATTTGACATAAATATGGGGGGGTGGTTCAAACAAATAGCAGAGAGAGTTGGTGGGAAAACTGAACTGGGCGATCTGTGTTTTATTTAGTCTCAGATTCAAAGTCATTCTGATTCTTTTTTTTTTAATTTTATTTATTTGTTTATTTATTTATTTATAGAGAGAAAGCGCTTGTGAGTGGGGGAGGGGAAGGACAGAGTGAAAGGGAGAGAGAGAATCTTAAGCAGACTCCCCACAGAGGGCAGAGCCTGATGTGGGGTTTGATCTTACAGCCCTGAGACCTGAGCTGAAATTAAGAGTCCGATGCTTAACTGACTGAGCCACCCAGGTGCCCCAAATCCATTTACGTTCTTTGTCATTGAAATAATGTTTATTTTTATACGGTTATAAAAATAACACATGCTTACTGTTTTAAGGACTTGAAAATACAGCATAAAGAAGGAAATAACCGCCCATAATCCCACTGCCTAGAACTCACCCGTTATTTCTAGGTATTCTTTTCCAGTGTCTTTCTACATACAAATATTTTACATAATTGGGATAATAATACAAATGTAAGTAATAAGATGAATGACTTAGCTGTTCTAATTGTCTTCTTGCCAATGCTAAGGTCCTATGGCTACTACATTTTCTTCTGGGTTTTACGATTTTCTTCGTTTAAATTTTTATCTTTTATATATTTGGGAGTTATTCCGATGTATGATGTGCATAGAGATCTAACTTAATATTTTCACCCAAAGAGTTCCCTGATTGCCCTAGTGATGCTTCCTTCCTCCACTGGTGTGATGGTTTTTGCACACACTGCATTCTTGTGTGTCGAATGGGCCAGGGCGTCATTGGTTCTACTCCTGCTGCCTACCTGAGGCCTGAGAAGTCCACAAATGACCAACAGGGACCTTATTTCAGAAATCCATGCTCCCAGACTTTCTTCTCCCTTCACCAGCTCCAGAGGCTAGCTAGTTTCCTCGGATCTGGCTGGAGACCCAAGTCCTACAGCTAGAGACAGACACACATGTACTTACCAGCAACTGGAAGAAGTACTGGGACGTTTTTGGGTTCTTGGGAAGCTCCTGGAAACAAAGACAGGGCAGGGCCACTTCATGTCTGGGATTATATGCAAGAATCATCCAGGGTTGTCACAGGACAATTTCTCTAAGGTTGAGAGTCTCTCCTATACTTTCAACTGGAAATCTGCCCTGATGGTCCTTTTTCAAACCCCATCTACAGGCTTCCATTGATGTTCAGAACAACTACGGGGACATGCTGTGAGTTCCAAAACCTTTCTGGAGTCACCATCTGATTTATCAAAGAAAGGTCCAGAAGCAGCTGAGCTTTAGGAGCATTTTTAAGAGTTCAAATATTAAAAAAAAATCAGTTATGGGTTTATGGCAGATTTTAGTTCTCCATTAACAAGAATATTTGATTAGCCAGAATGCTCTAGTCCCTCTTTAAGCCAAATAACAGAACGTTCACTTGATAAAGGGGTAGAAATCTACAAGTGTTACACTCCGTCGTCCACTGCGCCCAGTAGAGATGCTCGCGTGCACACACACACCCATCCGCTCCAACAGCAACCCACATCATGGTAATGCGTTGGAGTTACTGTGTGCTCTGTGCCGGTTACATACATTATTTCTGATAACAACCCGATGGGCTTGGTACCATTAGTATTTTTTTTAATGGATTAGAAAGCTGATGTGTAGAGAGGTGACGTTATTGCCCAATGCCACATTTCTAATTGGCGGAGTTGAATTCAAACCCAGGTGCTTCTGACTCTAGAACCACCGATCTGAGAATTCCCATGGGTCGATAAAATCCCTTCTCATTGCCAATTTTTATATGAACAGTCTTTCCCATTTTTGTAGAGTTTTCTAAGTTACAAAACTCTTGCACCTTCCCTTGGGTAACCTGGATTCTTAGCGCAGTGAGGGATGTAGGGTTTACTTTATGGAAACATGCCTTTCCTTACCTGGTAGATGTTGCCACGGCAGGTAAACCCATCCCCAATGTAGTTGGGCTTGCAAGTACACGTCCGTTCTTCTGGCCCAGTGTGATTGCAGATAGCAAATTCACTACAGCCGCCGTTTCTCTGGTCAAATTTCCAAGGGGTGGGGAATAGGAATCAGATCAGTTTGTTTACCAGCTCTGCCAGTAATTCTGTACTGAAATTTAGTTTTTTACTCATTCTCTAACTGACTTGTTGGCATGATTTGCCCCTTTCCTGAACTTGCCTTTCAACTCCCTAGAGTTGTAAGGGCCATTTATTCACCTAGCCTTGTATCCCAAGATGCTCGGGTCCAACCGAGCAGATTTCCAGCCATATGTAGACAAGCCCAGAGGTGCCAAATGGAAAATTTCTTAGCACCTGGGGGTTGGCCAGAAAGGCACCAATCTTGTCTGACAATTCCCAGCTTTACGCTTAAATTCTGATTTCATAATAGTCAAGGTAACAGTTGTCAGCCAGAAGGCAGTGGGTATAAAACAGATAGAACACACTGTCCTTGTCCACAAAGAGCTTAAAAACTGTGGAAGATGGGACAGAGACCTAAAATAGAAACAAAGCAAAGTACAGTTCAAAGCTGACATCCGTGGAACACCAAGAAGGACTCGGCAGCCTAAGCCAAGTTTTGAAGTGGGGAAAAAATATGAACTCAGGAGAAAGAACACTGATGGGGTTGACAAAGAAGGAGGTCAACAGACTTGAAGGCCGGCTGTAAAATCTTCCTTTCCACTAACCATTGTTCCCAAAGTCTTTGTGGAGCATGATATTCGGGTTCGGGAGGGACTTACTGTCCCGGATTCCTGCCTCAAGCTGACACAGCTCAGTGAGGTCTCCAAGAAAGCTGCCTTCTGCAACATGGAATCCATGATCACCCATTCTTCTTCGGTCCTAGCCGTGGTGCCTGGATCACCGGCTTTCCCTCCACACCTGTCGTCATCATCAACATCCCTGCCAGTGGTCTCCACCATACCTGCCCCCGCTCTTCCTCCGCCACCACCGCTGGACCACCCTTGACTTTGTCCCGACATTAAAGTGGACGCTCCTGAGAGCTCTGTTTCAACATCCCTCTCTCTCTGACCACCAGCTTTTATCATCTCAACTCACCTCTTCCAATGCGGCTCCAGCCTCCTTTGACCCACAGGGGCCTCCCCTCCTTTGAGCCAACTTCTTTCTCACCCACATTCCTGCCCGCTCACTGGGCCCAGTCGCCCCCGGCTCCCCACTCGGCCCTGGCCCAGCCGCCCACAGCAGGGCTCGGCACACCGCTGCCCCTGGGCCCGGCCGGATGGGCGGGGTGTCGCTGTGCAGACTCCCAACAAAGTTATCACACGCACTGACACTGCCTACTCTTCGAGTGCATTTACCTTCTCTCTCCCTGGAGAAGACACATCACTCCTTCATTCCTCCCTGCAACTCTCAACCTCTGGCCCTCACTCCCAGCGGACGAGCTCACCTCATACCTTATGGAGAAAATAGACACAGGGACCAGCCCATCTGCCTGCCCTGACGCCCACCACCTGCCTGGGCCTGGTCACCAACTCTACTTTCCTTATTTAACAAATAAACTGACAACTGACTGACCACTCGCTTACACACCAAGTGTCCGTCTCTTCCCCCTCAGTGTAAACTCTTGAAGGGAAGAGACTTCGCCTCTTGGTCATGGATGAACTCCCAGTGCCTAAAATGGTGCCTGGTATCTAGGGAATGCCCATCGACCTAGATGTGTGTCATCCTGTATGAGGTTTCCCACCGGATAGGTAGGAATTTGAGTGGTCTCTGTCCTCGTGGGACTCACAATTTAGTTAGAATGGTCAGACACAGACATTTTCAAGCTAATTCACACTAAGGGCCATGAATGTAACTGGCTGACTAACTGATTGACTGCCTGACTCACCAACTAACCAACTACCTGTCTGCCTACCTACCACTGCCCCCGCTCCTCTTGGAGGCTCAGCTGTGAGCTCCGGGTCCCTTTCCCCTCATCCACTCCTGGACCTTCCTCCTGTAACAATCTACTTCTCTCCCTCAGTACCAGTTTCCTTCTCTCTATTGGATCATACTCAGCAGCAGAAAAACATGCTTTAATACTATTCGAGTATTAAAATAAGAAACAAACTTCCCTTCTTCTTGAAAAGAATCCAGTGGGTGATGGCGGTCATGGGCGCAGGGGCCATGAGTTAATGACTCTTGTACCTGAGTCTCAGGTGCATGTCTGTTCATTGCGTGAGTTGCCAAGACAAGGTGGCCATTACAAAACAGACGGACAGACAGACAGATGGAGAGGATCATTGAAGAATAGCTGTGGAAATAAAGCTGGCCATGGGTCTGGTCCTAACAGTTCCATATCCCAGCACCCCACTTTCTGCAATCACTTTACGTGGGGACGTGTTCCCCTGAGGCATTTGCCAGACTAACACAAGGGGACAGTCAGGATGGAGCTTGGAGAGGAAGGACTTTAATTACGTGGCATCTGTGCTGTTCTCATGCCCACGGCTGGAGGCTGGTGATACGGAGAAGGGAAGTAAGGTGCAGAGACTGGTCCTCCTCTGGGACTCGCTGCCTCGTGGGAGGAACAAACACCCGAAAAGTGATCCAGGGCGCAGCCTTTGAGTAGGACAGACGTGGGTTCAAGTTCTGACTATGCTGGGTGCTTGCTCTCTATATAGGTCTGCCCATGCCCTAAGTCCTGGTGTCTCTGAGTGTGACCTTGTTTAGAGAGTCCTTGCAGATATAAATAAGGATCTTGTGATGAGAGCATCCTAGATGAAGCAGGTGGAGTCCACAGGAGTCCTTACTAGAGGAGAAGACTCCTACATAGAGGTGAAGGCCATGTGAAGACAGAGGCAGAGAATGGAGTTTCTCCAGCTACAACTGGAACATGAGGGAGAGATGAGTCTCACGGCCCAGAAGCCTCTCTGAAGGAGGCTCCTCTGTGTGCCACGCCCCAGAAGGGGGGTCGGAGGCACCCCAGGCCTGTCCGCTGAGGGCACCGGCCCCAGAACCATACTCACGGTTAAGCAGGTGTTGATGAGCGTGCAGACCTTCCCGTCTCCAGTGTATTTGGGCAAACAGTTACAGACCGCCTGTCCGGGAGGGGAGGGAAATGGGTTATTTCACAGGGAGATTCTGCTGGCTCTCGCGTTCCAGTTCTGTTATGGTAACGGTAATGCCACAAGAGTCTATATTTGGTATCGGTAAGATCTTTCCTAGATTGATAATTGTCATTTTACATTTTAGCACACTTCACAGTAGCACTGGGATTGCCTACATAGCCTAACTTTGCTGCCAGGAGACTTTATTTTTTTACAACACTGTTACCTCAGTTGGTCCCTTGCCTCCTTGGCACTCACCTCTTTTGTCACCTTGGTTGGTAAAGGCTCAGTGGCAAGGAAGCTAAGCTACGGCCCACTGGCATCTCCACCGCGTTCTTGCGCATCTCCACCCACGCTCCGCCCCGAGGTGCCCGCGCTGGGAGCTGCTGGAGGCCAGCTTTGGAACCACATGGGTGGCACATGGGAAAACAATCCGTCAGACCCACTGGCCAAGGAAGTCAGTGGGGGCTTGAAGTTGAGGGAGGGGACACTGTCTGCAGGAAGCTGGGACTGTCTACTTCATCCTCATTTCCCTGGCGCTCTGCATGGGAGTGAGTGGGGCTGAAACCCAGCTCCGCTCTAGTTACTAAGCCGCGCACCCAGAAGAAAGGGCACCTGCTCCTAATGTGTCCACCAGAGGCAGCTTTTCCGGTCTCATGTCTACTTGTTGGAACGGGAACTTGTTGGCAGGGTGAGCCAGGGTCCAACGGCAGGTGTTCACTCCTCTGCCTCTTCCTTCATTATGGGCCCGGACCTCGGCCCCAAACCTTTATCAAGACACCCCCCAGCCGCCCCTCCTGGGCTAACATCCTGTCTCAGTGATCAACCCTGTGTCCCTCTCACTGCCTTCTAGGTCTGGAGGAGGATTTGGAGAGGCCCTGAGCAGCACAACGTTTCTAGGTTTTCCTTATTCCATATGTGGTTTGAAATAAGAACTCAGTGGCAAGAGCTGAACCCCCAAATATGTCTAATTGTGCTGGGTTTTTCCAAGGTTATATGTGCAAACACACACACACACACACACACACACACTTCTTTAAAAGAGGTTTGGTTTTTCTTTTTTTTCTTATTTTTGGGCAATTGAGCCACCTGCTTGTTCTGCCTAATGGGATACCTGGCACTGAGGTTTGGGGCTCAACAAAGTCCCTAGAACATTCCCTGGGGACTTGACTTCATCATCCAGTTTCTGATACAGGTAATTTCCTCGTTAATGCTAGTTTTGGCTGCAAGGTTCGCCATGTTAGGGAATGAACGACTGACAGAGGGCCCAAGAACACGATCTTCTGCTGTGGCACATGCATTTCAGGGCCTCAAGCCAAAGAGAAAGTGTGGGATTCTGGACATCAGAAAGCCGAAAGAAAGGAGAGCATTGTTGGAAACTTTCCAGGTGTTTCTGAAACCATGTTGTGTTGGCAGCTGTCTATGTCTCCCCACACAGGAAGCCCCTTCTCCCAAGAACTCTTTGTCCCCTCACCCCCACCAGTTCTCATTCCCACAGAATGGCCTCTTGGGGAATTCGTTCAGAATTTCCCCCTACGGTGTTTGCTTCTGCTGCTGGTGTCCACAGGTCTGTTCTCAGCGCCTGTCTCTCAGGCCTGGGTCTGAGGGCCCAGGAATTTGCCGCTAGGAAAACTGAGGGCCTGGGAGGCGGGGAAGCTCACCTGGTTGGGTCCCGTCTGTGTGCACTCTGCGTTCTTGTGACAGCCACCATTGTTCTCCAAACATGGGTTGATCTCTTTAAAACAAAAAGCCAATATGTGACATGAAAATCAAGCCTCATTTCCAAGTAAAGACATCTTGAGGAAGGAGGCAGGATGGCGAACTGAACAAGGCAAGCAGATGTCCAAGTGTGATTCAGTTTTCCAACAACTCTGAGGCAGAAGTAACCCAAAAGGGCAGGTCCAGATTCTTTTCTCAAAGTCACCTCCTCTGGGACGGGACTTTGCCAGCAGAAGCATAGTCTGTGGGCTTGCACCTGTCCCTCTCCTGAATGAATATGAGCATTTTCAGCCAAGGACTTGAAATAATAGAATCTCGGAGTCCAATCCAACATGCTATGAAGGAAGAAATTTAGGAATTAAAAAAGTCACTTGTAACTATCACAATATAATTGCTTCAGGGAAGAATCATCAATAGATTCTCCATCTAGGAGGACACTTTGATGAGGAACAGGATCTTTGCTGGGTGCTCAAGTATCTCCCCATTGACTGCTTCTTAGTAGCACTGGGGGAAAAGCAACAGTACTGTGGAGAAATCAGATAGCACCTTGGCCGAGTGGTCAAAATTCACATCACAGATGAGAGGCGGCTGGAAATCACGAGCCTCCGGTGTGATATCCTGAGCAGGATGCATTATCGCTCCTGTGATATCGGGTCTGGAATGCATCATCTCAATATAATCATGAACAAACATCAGATAAACCCCACATGTAGGACATGCAATGTAAAACAAAGTTGGGGAGGTGGACTGTCTTCTTCCAAAATGTCAATGTCATAAAAGACAAAGCAAGGCTGGAGAATCCTCCACGATTCAAGGAGACTAAAGAGACACGGCAGCCAAATACGATGCCCATCCCTAACCCGGATCCTGCTCTAGAGGAAAAAATGCTGAAACAGGACATTATGTTATAGGGTCAGGGGACAAAATTAGAATACAAATGGCAATTAGACAAACGTATCATATCAGTAGTAAATTGACTGAAGTTGCTAACTGCTGCGGGTATGCAAGAATTCACCCCTATTCTCTAATATGCCCAAGTATTTAAGGGTAAAGGGAATATCATATATATAGTTCACTCTCAAATGGTTTAGGAAAAATGTGTACAGACATAGAGAGGGCAAATGATAAAGCAAATGGAGCAATACATCAACAATAGTGAATCCAGGTAAAAAGCAAGTGGACCTGCTTTTGTACTATTCTTGCAATGCTTCTGTGTGAATTTTTTTTTTTTTTTTTACAACAAAAATGTTAAAAGTCAGACAACTACTACGGCACGCCTTTAGAGTAGAACAGTGTGTAGCCATGAAGATAATGATTTGGAGGTACACTTATTTTCAGAGAGAGTTGTTCTTCCATATTGCTAGGCATAGTAAACATTATGTATCATAACAGAATTTTCATTCAAAGAAGTATGTGTCTACATAGCAAACTGGAGTGATAGGACAATAGGAAGGGTGGTTATTTCCAGAATATTCTCTCCCAGCATATATGCATTCTCTAATTTTTCTACAGGGAGAATGTGCTATTGTGTAAAAAAAAAAAAAAAAAAGAACTAATAAGTGTTAAAAAAAATTCAGTCACCACCATAATGTTTAACTGGAACAAGTCTCTCCCTTTCCTCCTTCCCAGGTGATTTTTGGCCATCACACACCTTCATCCCGCTGCGGTCACATTTTCACGCCCTCATGCCTTCCTGCCCAGATACACTTAAAGATAACTCCAGCAGTGGCAGGTCCTAATAACAGGACCACTGGCCAGGACTCTGATTCTTGAACCGCGGCCACTGGACAGTGAGGGACCTACCGAGACAGACAGAACCTACCGAGGCACACGATGCCATCGCCCGTGTGGCCTGCCCGACACACACACCGCCGGCTCCCGGGGGTGGTTCTCCTGCAGTCAGCCCGGGCAGAACAACCTCCGTTGCTGGTCTCACAGGCGTTGATGGCTGTAGGAGAGAGGGGGGAACGCCAAGCAGAGCAGGAGGGAGATGGGGGGAAAAGAAACAGTGATGAGGGGCACCTGGGTGGCTCAGTCGTTAAGCGTCTGCCTTCGGCTCAGGTCATGATCCCAGGGTCCTGGGATCGAGCCCCGCATCGGGCTCCCTGCTCTGCGGGAAGCCTGCTTCTCCCTCTCCCACTCCCCCTGCTTGTGTTCCCTCTCTAGCTGTCTCTCTCTCTCTGTCAAATAAATAAATAAAATCTTTAAAAAAAAAACCAGTGACGTGTTTTTACTCGAGTGAGAAATGGAAGATACCTCAAAATGTCAGGCACTGGATTCAATATGAATAGTTCAAAAGAACACAAAGCACCAGAGGTCGTCCCTGGTGAATTCTACCAAACATTTAAAGAAGGATAAATAGCAAATTTTCACAAACTCTTCCAAAAACTGGAAGAGGGGAGAAAACTTCCCAATTCATTTTATGAGGTCAGTATCATGCTGCTACCAAAGCCAGGCAGAGCCAGCACAAGAAAATTACAGACCAATATCCTTTGCGAATATAAACACAAACACCCTCAGGAAAATATTTGTAAATCAAATTCGGCAGTATATAAAAAGAATTACATGCCATCACCAAGTGGGAATTTTGAGGAATGCAAGGTGGTTTATTTATTTATTTTTTAAAAGATTTTATTTATTTATTTGAGAGAGAGAGAGAGAGAGAATGAGCAGTGGGGGTGGGGGGAGACGCAGAGGCAGAGGGAGAAGCAGGCTCCCGCAGAGCAAGGAGCCCAGTGCTGGACTCGATCCCAGGACACCAGGATCATGACCCGAGCCGAAGGCAGAGCTTAACTGACTGAGCCACCCAGGCATCCCTGCAAGGTGGTTTAACATTTAGAAATCAATTAATGTACTATTGCATATCAAGAGAATTAAAGACAAAACCACATGATCATCTCAATAGAAGGAACAAAAGCATTTGATAAAATTCCATGCCTTTAATAATAAAAACTCAACAGGCAAGGAATAAAAGGAAACTTCCTTAACCTGATAAAGGACATCTATATATGGAATAGAATTAAGAGTCCAGAAATAAACCCATACATCTAAGGTCAACCGGTTTTCCACAAAGATGCCAACACATTTCAATGGGGGAAAGATTAATCTTTTCAACAAATGATACTGAGACAATTGGATCTTCACATACAAAAACATGAACTTGGACCTCGGCCTCACAACATGTACTCAAATTAATTCAAAGTAGATCAAAGACCCAGATCCACTTGGAGTCCCACGCTGTGACCTTGGACAAGCCGCTTAGTTAATATGAACCTTGGGGTCCACCTATCGAGTTTTGTTTACAGGTTTAGAGACTCCCATCTGATCATGTATATGAAAGTGTTATAGAAATGTTGGCTGTTCTATTAACTTGTGTCTTCTGCTTTCACAGTTTTTCCTAAAAACAGAGGGCAAGAGAAACGTTATAGTTATTGTCTCTTCCCAGTTGTTTTCCCTGGCATACTGAGCACATCCTACTGCAGGAAACATCTGGGGCCTGGGTCAGGGTGCCTCCATGCTGGGAGAATCCACAGGGTGAGATGGTCTAGAAAGCAGGCTGGTAGGTTCATTGTCCAGCTCCACTATAATCTGGACCGAAGCCTGCCTGGACAAGGTGCATAAGAGAAAAATGATGCTAAGTGTTTCCATTTCTCTAGCACCAAATGTGTGGTGGGCCCTGTAAGAATATTAGCTTGCATTTATTGAGTATGCTCTGTGCCAGGGTTGTTCTGAGCACCTCACAGGGATTAATCCAGGTTATTACCCAACAGTTCAGTGAGGGAGATTCTCTTGTTGCCTACAACTTACAGATAAAAAAATGATGCAAAGATCAGTCAAGCAACTTTCCCAAGGTAGCACAAATGATAAGAACTTAGACTCGAACCCGGGAGAGTCTGATGCCAGGGCTACTTTAAACTGCTGTCTCATTCTGCCCTTGTACAGACAGGTCATTTCATCCCCAAACCACTCTGCAGGGGACACAGTTTTGTTTACTTCATAAGTGAGCTGAGGGGGCTCAGAGCAGGTAAGAGACCCACCCAAAGCCATGTGGGTAGGAGGAGGAAGAACTGGGATTCAAGCCCCTGGCCCACTCCAGAGTCCCCACGCCTGGGCCACACCCTAGGTCAATCAATCCAGTGTTGTTAAAGTTCTCCAGGTGATTTCAATCACGGTCAAGGCCGTGAACCGCTGTTTGGAGACGAGAACAGGTGCAACTGACCCACCCATTCCTAAGCCAACACATGCCCGGTCCGTGAACAATAGTTTTCTTGCCCCGGGGCCCAATCAGTTGTCCTGTTACATCCAGTTCACTCTCAGCGGCTGGTAGCGGCTGCCCAGCCGGTCTGCAGGAACACAGACCTCTCAACAGCTCATGCTAGCCTCGTGTCCCCCAGCAGACCCCTTCCTCGCTTGCCTGTGCACACCGTTCCATTCCCTTGGAATCCTGCTGCGCATTTGCACGAGGCTGTGCCGTCCGGATTGAGAAGGCAGCTGCAATGAGAAGGGGCAAGTGCTATTTGTGAAAGAAAAAAAACAAAACACAAAAAACAAAAACCATATAACACCACCCCCTTCTTCCCCAGCACCCAGCTCCTGCTCCCATGTGGCACTCACAGGTCTTGCCTAAGCGGTGGAAGGAGAGGCCATTCCTAGCACAGCCCCGCCAGGGGCAGCTAAAACTGCAGGTGTGCACATGCAAGCATCGGCCCAGGGATAGGCGGGATAGCTACCAATCTTTAGAGAGCCACTTATGTACTTGGAGCTGTGCTTTGCACATTACTTTGTAGAACCTACACAATATCCAATAGCCCTAACAAGCAGATATTATTAGTCCCATTTTATAGATGGAGAAACTGAGGCTTAGAAGCATAAAGTAATTGACTCAAGGTCATGCAGACAATGAAATGGACAGAGGCTGATTTGAATTCAGATCTAAGCCCAGTTACTGGGCTAACTAATGAACCACGAAGCCCCTCTGGGAGTTAGCAGTATGAAGCCGAAGTCTGAACAAGTAAGGCTTGGCGGCAGGAGCAAGGTTGGATGAAGGTCAGGTGCACTGCCTATCCTTGGCTTCTATGAAAGAGTCCCTGTGGCTTGAACTGGGGGTAACAACTGGCATTGTTGCCAACAGGCCAGGTAACTCAGGGGGCAGCTTGTTTAAAAGGCTGCATCTGGCAAGGTGATGGTGGCCTTTTCAGAGGGAATTTTCATTTCATACTTAATTTTATCCTAACTCTTCCGAAATGGTCTCAGGAAACGATTACCCCGAGGTGGACGCTCTTAGGAAAGGATCCCCTTTGCATCACCCCCAAAGAAAGCTCCGAGGTACGCACTTGGCACTGGTGTGGCACATCCCATTGCAGCCGTCTTTCGTGATCTCTGAGAAAGAGAACCAATTGCTGGGTCAGTCCTTTCATACTAAACCTACCTCAAGAACTTTCTTTGAGTACTTGGTGGTAAGAAAAGATTTAATTCCTCGGAAGTAACGATACGCATCACGTGAACCACGTAAAACTCTGGGACCTTGTAAATCCTTTTTTGCGTGGGCTGCCAGGAAGCTCAGAGCCAAACTGGAAGGTCAACAGGCTCTGTGCCACACGGCAAAATCAAGGAGAGTAAAACACAGTCTCTTCCCTCAAGGTCTGGATGTTGATGCATGTTCCTCACTGGGGCCTGATTTTTTACTTTCGTTTATATTTCTTACATTCCTTATTCTTTCTAGTTTTTCATCATTTTATTACAGAGTGATATAAACAAGCAAAACCCAATTATAACTAATATTAAACTTTTTTTTTCTTTCGCATATGCAAAAATAACCCAAGGCCAGGCAGGCACACGGCAGGTCCCTATTATCTATGAGCTCCATTCATTCCTAAACGTCCTGGAAGAGCATAGGCTCTTGCCCTTGGACACCCAGCTAACAGATACTTCCCAGCAGGGGAGGATCCAGAAAGAAAGCATTAGAGACGAAGAAAGAGTACCCTCTGGGAAAGATGCTCGTGTTAAGAGCCTTTGGGATAGAATCTCATCAGAGCTGGCCGAGTCACGTAGAAGGTCCAGAAGGAGAGACTTGACCGTCAAAGCGGTCCGTTTCGTGTCAGAGCGAACAGTGAGAGGCTCCAGCAGGCTGGAATGGATGCAATGCGATTTTGTGCCTTTATGTATGCTCTTCCTTGAGCCTGGAAATCCCTTCTCTCTCCATTCTCTATCCACTGAAATCCCAATCATCTTTTAGGTCCTCCTCTCTGAAATGAGCTCTAAACCTTCGAGCCAACTTCAGTGAGTAGGCAGTGGCGACATGCTGTGCTCTTTTGAGCAAGATGTGACGCCCCTGTCTGGCCTCAGTGATGTCTACCATGCGCTTGGGAGTGGGGCGTTTGCCCCAAACAAAGGAGTTCTCTTCCTCGCTCTAGTCTAGAGGCTCTCTCCTCTGTGCTCTCATGCCACTAGTTTTTGAACACTATTGAACATTTATTTCCACTTCTAGGCTGGAAGCTCCTTGTGCAGGGTGTGCACGGAGACCAGCCTGGAAAACTGGGTGAGGGCCAGTTGGTGAAGAGCCTTGTACTCCACCCTGCTAAGTTGTTTCTCTTGCAGGCGATGAACTTTCTCCTGGAGGCAATGAAGAACCATAGCAGGTTGTCAAGTCCTGGGAGGGGGTGGGAAATATGGTCTTACCTATGGTTATAGGCTGAATGTGTGCTCTTTCCCCCCCAAATCCATATGCTGAAACCTAATCTCCAGTGTGATGGTATTGGGGTTGGGCCTTTGGAGATGGTCAGGTCATAAAGGCGGAGTGCTCACGAATGGTATTGGTGCTTTTGTAAAAGAGATCCCAGAGAGAACCCTGGCCTCTTCTGCCATGTGAGGACACGAGAAATTGGCAGTCTGCAACCCAGAAGAGGATTCCCACCAGAACCAGACAGTGCTGGTACCTACTCTCAGACTTCCAGCGTCCAGAACTGTGAGAGAGAAATTTCTGTTGCTTATAAGCCATCTCGTCTACAGTATTTGTTATAGCAGCCCGAACTAAGACATCTGTGTTTTGGAAAGTTCTCTCTGGCCACCATGTGGAGGATGCAATTGAAGAAGCTGGGACAGGGGGCAGAGGGACAGATCACAAGTCTCCTGCTGGGAGCTGAGCAGCAGGAGGGGATGTGGAGGTTAGAATAAGGTAGACATGTTAGTGAGGGAGTGAGGGAGCAGGAGTGGAAGGCGTGAAGGCCACGCCGATGGTTTCTAGATTGGGTGAGCAGGTAGGGGTAGGCTGGGTCTTTCTTCCCAGTAAGGAAAGCAGGAAGAGTGAGCCTGGAAGTCCATCCTTGGAGCACATTAAGAAACATCGGTGCAGGGGAGCCTGGGTGGTGAAGTTGGTTAAGCGTCTGACTCTTGGTTTCGGCTCAGATCATGATCTCAGGGTCCTTGGGGCGAGCCCTGTGTTGGGCTCTGTGCTTAGTGGGGAGTCTGCTTAAGTTTTTCTCTCCCTCTCCTTCTGCCCCTTCTCCCCTGCATGCTCTCTCTCTCTCTCTCTCTAAAATAAATAAATCTTAAAGAAAAAAAGAAACATCAGTGCCGTGTGGTGGGGTTGGGGGAAATGGGTCTGTTCAGATCCTGTTAGTGGGAAATTAAATGGATATATTCTCTGAAGGACAACTTGGCAGTAAAGAGCGAACCCTTCCCCCAAAGTGCCAACCTCTGACTCAGAAATCCTATCTCGAGAAATATCAGTGAATGAGTAAGTTAGACAAATGTGGGAGATGTATACATGCGACATTCATTGCAGCATTATGATGACAATAGAAAACTGGTTTTACAGAGTGTGGTATAGTCATATAATGGAATAGTATATGAAAATTAAAAATGATATTTACCGATATTTATTCACATGGAAATATATCCATGACATATCGTGAAATGAAAAAGTAGTCTGTAACACTGTGCAGAGCGCAGTCTCAGCCACACACGCCTAGAAAAAGGTTGGAAGGCTAATGTAAAATATTTTTTTTTTTTAAGATTTTATTTATTTATTTGAGAGAGAGACTGAGAGAGAGAGAGCATGAGAGGGGGGAAGGTCGGGAGGGTCAGAGGGAGAAGCAGACTCCCCGCCGAGCAGGGAGCCCAATGCGGGACTCGATCCAGGGACTCCAGGATCATGACCTGAGCTGAAGGCAGTCGCTTAACCAACTGAGCCACCCAGGCGCCCAGGCTAATGTAAAATATTAATGATAGTTTGTTCCTGCTGTGGGAATGTATTTCTTATTTTTCTCTTTCTGCTTTTCTTTTTTAAAAGATTTATTATTTGTTTGAGGGAGAGAGAGAGAGAGAGTGAGCATGAACAAGGGGAGGGGCAGAGAGGGAGAGGAAGAGAATCTCAAGCAGACCCCTCGCTGCTGGTGAGGGCCAGTTGGTGAAGGGCTCGATCTCACGACCCCGAGATCATGACCTGAGCCAAAATCAAGAGTCAGATGCTCAACCGACTGAGCCACGCAGGCGCCCCTGCTTTTCTTTATTTTACAAACTTTTTGTGGCAAGTAGGAGCTACTTTGGTTGCCAAAGGAGGTAATAAAGGTGTCATTTCTTTTTTTCTTTTTAAAGATTTTATTTATTTACTTGAGAGGGAGATGGGAGTGAGAGAGAGGGAGACAACAAGTGGTGGGGGGTAGAGGGAGAGGGAGAGACAGACGCCCTACTGAGCAGGGAGCCCGACATGGGGCTCCATCCCAGAACCCCGAGATCATGACCTGAGCCGAAGGCAGACGCTTAATAGACTGAGCCACCCAGGCCCCCCCTAAAGCTGTCTTTCTATTTTAGGAAGACAGAAAGGTAGCTGCTGGGAAGCGAGGCTCAGAACACATCATAAGGACTGAGGGGCTTGTCCTTACCTGTGTCGCATCTCACTCCTCGCCAGCCAAGGTCACAGGTGCAGGAACCGTCGCCTGAGGGTCCTTGGTTGCATCTCCCATGGACACAAGAACACACTAAGTGGAAAAGCGCCCACAAATTGTTAGCCCTCTGGCCTGTGTTCCGGAACTCATTATCACTTACTATGAAGAGGCACTTCGCATGAAGGGCACTTCATTCTCCCACCTGGTTCCAGAGCACCATTGTCCTCAACGGAGGGCTGGATTCACAGGAAGGGCAGGGGGCACAGGAGAAGAGTCGAGTCGGGTCATGATTTGACAGAGACCACAGTTGTGGGACGTGTAGCACTGTGGCTTGGTGACGGAAGCAGGGTGAGCGTGTCCTCAGCTAAGCTTAGCGGAGGACTCAGGGTCGTGTGCGACGCCCTGGGACGGAAGCATGTTTGTTCCCTAAGGTCTGTCCGCTAGGTTTATATAAACCTGGGATAGCACTGCCTTCTTTTACAACATAGAAAAGCCGATTCCTTTGTTACGCAGCAGTGCCGTGAGCCTCTGAGAACTGGTTAAAAGCCTTGGATGCCTTCCCCCAGGGAAAAGCATTCAGGTTTGGGACTTCGCTAGACTCCATGAAGGTCATCTACGGATCACCGGTTAGGAAGTCCCGCACAACTGGAAGCAGAAGATGCTTCCAAATGACAGAAAGAGTCAGCACTACAGTTGCAACTATATATTATATGGTCCAATTGTAGTGATTCAATTATATATTGGTTTTGTCTGGCTTGGAAAGCTGATGACAAAGCAGTGATAGTCAGGTCCGACTTACGGTTTTTAGTTCAGGGTAGGAAAAAAAAACGCCTCGTTTTCTCATCATGGATTAGGAAATTCCTCCCATGTGTGTACGTCCTTGGGCACAAGGTCAGAGAATGCAAACAGATGATGATTTTTGTGAAAACAGCTTAAAGCATGTGGCTTACTGGGAAGGTGAATTAATAGAGTAATCTTCAGGTAAAGGGCTGCATGATTCAAGAGCAAGGCTTTGGAGCCAAGCAAGATATGCATTCAAACCTCAGTTCTGCTTCCCACCAGGTGTGACCTTAAGGGAAGTCATTCAGCTCTGCCTTAATATACTCGTCTGTAAAATGGGTACATAAGGTTCCTGTGTGGATTAAACCAGATACCGTGCACAAACGGGCGTTTCAAACTATCAAGCAATGTCCAAACCTGAGAGGCTAACCATGAGGATCAGTGCGCACAGGCAAACACAGAAACGTGGTTGGTTGGGGAAGGTCAAGGAACAGGTCCAGTTAGTGATTGAAAATGTTTGGAAAACACTGTTCTATGCAAATTACACAACACAGACATTCTCACAATTCACATGATAATAGAGGTGGGGTTCCAGCCTCGCCCCAGAGCTAGGGCGCAGATGGCCCCCCGCTGCTTTCCCACAGTGGGTGGGGAGGTCGTGCTGGGTGGGGAGGGAGGAGGGTGCACACCTTGGTCGCAGTGGGCGCCGTACTTGCCCTCGGCGCAGGTCTCACAGGCTGTGCCCACGAAGCCCTCTCCACACTCACACACACCCGTGCCATTCACCCCGTCCAAGCAGATCCCGTTTCCAAAGCAGACGTTCCCGGCTTTCCCAGGGCAGGGCTGGCACTGGGGACCAAAGAAGCCCGCACAGCATGCTCTCGTCTGAAACCGAGGGACAAGGCTGGGCTGGGACGAGGCCCCACCTCCATCTCCGCGGCTTCTGTCCCGTCGCAGTCTGGAAATCCAGCTGGCGGGGCGGGCTGTGTGCCTGGAGGGCGCCAGGGGCAGGATGCAGTGGGGAGGCAGGAAAGAGGGAAAGGAAAAAGGCAAGCAAGAGACTAGGATGAAGACCACTGGGAAAGGAGGCAGCAGGAACAGAGAAAAGAATAATGCAGGTGATGCCAGTGGGGACCCCGGCCCCTTCCTGGTGTGTTACTCATCCCCATGCTGCTGAGCCCGGAGAGGCCTTTGCAGGGGAAGCCTCGAACGTTTTAGAAGTGAGTCTCTTGTAGTTTAGGGAAGCCCTACAGGCTGTGCACTTGGCCTGGGCCTGCCTTTCTTCTTCTTTTTAAAAAAAATTTTAATTAAATTTTTAATTTTAATTCCAGTATAGTTCACATACAATATATTAGTTGCAGGTATACAATATAGTGATTCAGCAATTCTATATATTACTCACTGCTCATCATGATAAGTGCACTCCTTAATCCCCATCACTGATGCTTTTATTCTTTTTTTTAAAAAAAGATTTGTTTATTTATTTGAGAGAGTGAGAGAGAGAGAGAGAGAGAGAGAGCTCGTGCATGCATGAGTGCATGGGCGGGGAGGAGCAGAGGGAGAGGGAGAAGCAAACTCCCTGGGAGCAGGGAGCTCTATCCCAGGATCCCCAATCATGACCTGAGCCAAAGGCAGAAGCTTAACCCACGGAGCCACCCAGGCGCCCCAGGTGGCTTTATTCTTGAGGGCACTAACACACGCACGTCTACATTACTCAGTGCTCAGCACAATGAGTGCAGACACCATCTGTCACCAGACAACATTGCTACGCGATTACTGACTATATTCCCTAGCCCGCACTTTTCATCTCTGTCTTATTTTATAACTGGAAGTTTGTACCTCACAATCCCTATCACCTATTTCACTCGTCCCCCCTCTGCCCCCCCCACTTCCCCTCTGGCAACCACCAGTTTGTTCTCTGTGTTTAAGAGTCTGTTTTTTTTGTTTGTTTTCAGTTTGTTTTTTTTTTTTTGGTTTGTTTCTTTGTTCCTTTGTTTTGTTTTTAGGTTCCACATACAGAATTATTGAATCACTGTGTTGTACGTGTGAAACGAATATACCATTGTATGTTAATTATACTTCAGTAAAAAATAAATGGATGAGCATGGCTGTGTTCCAATAAAACATTTCTGGATACTGGAAAACAAGACCCCAAAACCCCACAGAATCTTCTGCAGCCCCAAGCTCTGCAGCTTAAGGGCCAAACCATCTTGTTTCTGTAGGATAGGCCGAGGCTATGGCTAGTCTTCTGGGGAAGAGGCAGGACAGGAAGTTATAAAGAATTTTCCTGCAGATTCCAAAGCAGCAGTGCAGACGTGCTTAGCTCTGGGGTCCTGTTTTCTAAACAAGCAGGTGCACCTTCTCTTTCCTTAGGAAGCTGGCCGTCTCCTCCGTCCCTGTTGTGACAATGAGGAGGTCCTCCCAGGCTCCCAGTCTTTCAATTTCCTCACCATGCAATTGAATATTGCAGCTTTCCCCTGTTTCCTGATTTCCTGCTGTCCTGAGTTTTCCTGCTACCACCGCTACCTTGCATGACGATGACAGTGACAATGAGGATGATGAGGAGGAAGAGGAGAGGCAGAAGGAATAGATGTGAAGGCATCTGAAAAGCGTGACATATGATAAAACTTCCCCATGCTGCTGCAGGAATTGGAAGGGCGATTCAATCGTTATACTCACAATGATGGTTTTCACGCATTTTGCCCGGCACCCAATGAACAGGGTTCGCTTGCCCATGAAATAAATGGTATAGATACATCTCCTTATCTCTTCACCCTATGAAATAGAAATGATTATATCAGCTTTTGGGTGAGGGAAAAGTTCCATTCTGTAAGGGCAAATAGGTGGGTGACGTATTGCTGTTTCTCCCACTGAAATGTTCTGGAAAGGGAGGGGGTCTGCTTCTTGGAGCTGCTTTGTAAGGAAGAAGACACAAAAACGCAATGTTGGTTGCCAGAACCAAACAGGTGGCAAAATCCAAATTATTATACCTTAAGGTGGTACTCTGTAAAAAGAACTTTTGTCTAGAAAACTAACTCAAGTTTGGAAGAATTGTAGAGTACATTAGATAAAATTATCCTGTAATAACAAGATTAAACTCTAGTGAGAGAATCAGCATTGGTATCGTCCGAAATTCTTATTCGCATGGGCTATGAGAGGTGCATAAACATCTATTTTTTTGTAATGATTGGAACATTATCGGAAGTAGCTTTCGCAATAAATAGCTACAAGAAACATTGGTAATTAATTCAAAGACATGTTAACTTCTCCCAAGTTTGCCATCTGTTTCTTAGAGAGAGTTGTAAGTTCAACTATAAAAGGAAATCAGGCAGGTGAAACTCATCCAGATTGGATGTGGTTTTGGTTATGGAGTTTGCCCCTCTCTAAGGTTTCTTGCTCTTGTCCTCAACTGGCTTCCGGGACTGAAAGATGTAGAAAGTGAAAAATGCCTTCCTGTATTGTGCATCAACTGATGTGAATCCCAGCTTCTATTTATGTATTAATTAAATTATGCTTCGGTCCAAAAAAAGATTCAAGACTTTAGAAAGGTGCACATATGATGGTAAAATTAAATTAAAACCAAGTACAGGAATTGAGGGCAGTGAAAATGAGGTATGCTTGAGGTTCATTTTCTTTCTTTCATTTTTTTGAGGTTCATTTTCTAATTTGGACCTCCTGGAATCTGGAAACTATTTTATCAAAGCAGACAAAATACTTACTAGTTGTTTAGTTCCAAACGGGCAGACTGGCTGCTGGAGACACTTGCCACATTTTCCCTTGGTAAAACACAGAGAGGCAAAGTGAACATTTCACCATTCTTAATTTTAGTGCAAAGGGAGGCTGCAAGTTTTTTACAGACCTTGGAGCTGAAGGGTTTAGGATGTAGAATTGAAACTCAGAAAGATATTAGGGAAGTTCATCTGGTCAACCCTTGGGAGCACCTGGGAGCTGAGGACTCAGCGTGGAGATAATATACACTATTATAAAACAATGAGCACAACTTAAGAATGACAGAAATTTTTAAATGTGACCCGTTCCTAGAACAGGAGGAGGCCAATGTGACTAGTTCTTAACTGGGCCCCCACCAGACAGGATAGTGCGGTCGTTCACGGTTCTGGCTCTGGGGCCAGACTGCCTGGATTTGAACTCTTTGTCTGCCACTTGCTAGTTCTGTGAACCTGGGTACATTCCTTAACCTCTTTGTGGCTCATTTTCCCCATCTGTAGAATGGGGATAGTAATAGTACCTATTTTGTAGGGTGTTGTGCGGACGGATTAATACATGTAACATGTGTATTAACCCGTATAAAACCATTATAACAATATAAAATATGTGCAGTGCCTGGCACATAATAAGTGCCCCCCAAATGTCAGCAGTTATTACTATTACGGAAAGATCCTACACCATCCCATGGACTGGAGTGAAAAGGCTGCATTACCAAATCCTCTGTTACACTGAAATAATGCAGCTCCCTATTTTCTCTCCCAGTAGACCAGGCTTGGCCAATACCTGCCGTAGGTGCACCCTAGCCCCCCTCTCTGTGCCTACATCAGGCGTGGCATGTTTCCCACTGAGGAAGACCATGGCTTGAGAATCCTGCTCAGTACAACCCTCCAGGGCACCCAAGGTACAAGTCATTGCACTAGACTGTGAGCCCACTGAGGGCAGGGATCATGTCTCATTTATCTTTGTAGAGTCAAGTTGATTCTGTTTCTTCATACATCAGAGATCCTCACTCAATGTGTTTTTGAACCAAATTGAGATGTCCTGATAGATGAACTTTATGCTTTAAAAATTTATAAAAAATGAAACCAACAGGTGCATCATTGGCCTTGGATATAACTTACTTGTACAATAGCAGTGTCGTTATTATCACATCTATTCTTCTGAATTTCCAGAACTTTCCCCAAGCCATGGATCACTCCCTTGTCAGTGGCCGCATTGGTGTAGTTTATCGGGGCCTCATTTACGTAGAGCTGTGAACAAGAGGGTTGAATGTGAGTTTGATTGTAGTGATTTCAAGGGAAATAGCAACGATAGGGATTAGAGGCTATCACTATCCCAACAGTCTCGGAGATATTCCAGTATCCACCTGGAAGGTAGCACTCTGTAGTGGAAAGAGCTCTCTTGGGGAGGAGAGTCTAAGTAACAGTCCTGCATCTGGCACCATCTTGTTGTGTGACCTCGGGTCGGTTGCTTTTCCTCTCTGAATCTCAATTTCCTCTTTTGTAAAAGAAGAGGCTGTTCTAGATCATCTCTAAGGTTTCTCTCCACCCCTCACATTAGTTGGTTTATGACTGCTTGAAGAATTCTGAATCATGATTGTTACATGAGTCCCATTGGCAAAATGGCTCCATGGGGTGTGCTTCCCTGTGCTGTGGACTGGTGGTCCTGGAGGTTTGAATGCCTTCCATAACCAAGTCATGGAGAAGAGAACTCAATGGCCTTTCAGCACATCTCTACGGTTAGTTTGTAAGCAACCCTTAGAAAGGCCAAGCAACAGGTATTTAAGAATAAAAATAACTAGCATTTTTTAAGTGTTTTTGTTTGTGGAAAGTGTTCCACCAGATGGTATCATTTCCCAGTGTGTGGCAGGTGCTCAGAGGTTCTGCATTACATGCTGCAAACTCAAATTCAACTCTGAGTTGCAACTTGTTTTGTTTTGATTTTTTTAGGGGAGGCTACCTTAATGATTGAGTAATGCAAAACAAGTGAATCCATTCATCCATTCATTAATATAACTAATATAATTGGGAACAAATAGTTCTTTAAAAAATTAGAGAGAGAGAGAGAGTGTGTGTGTGTGTGTGTGTGTAGGTGTGAGTTGGGAGGAGAAGGGGGAATCTTTATTGTACTAAGAAAATGTTAAGTTTGTATCCAAAAAGGGTTTAAAAATGATTAATAACATCCCCAAACTCCCCACAACAGCAATATTAAAATGACTCTTTTAAGTACTGAAATTTGAACTGCCATGGGATGTTAAAATCCCTTATGATTTGCTTGGAGTCAGGTGAATTTCCGTTGCGTGTTGAGATCAATCATGGCTGAGCTCCACAGAAGTCTTCTAGCATCCGTGTAGATTTGGAAAACTAGCAGGGAACCTTACAGGTGCTGTCAAATGGTGCTTGCAGCACAAACTTCCAGAATTCTGAGATACTGAGCTACTTAAAAAATATCAAACTGAGATAACTTCTGATGCTATAATACCGTTGATTTGGCATTAAAAAAACGTCTGAATCATCTTCTTTGTGAGATGTACCCAGAGAATTATGGGCTGCATTAAAATTTTTATTTGAACACAAGTTTACTGGGTTAGAGAGCTTTTTCGTAAAATTCTGTTGTCCTAAGAGAAAGTAAATGAGTTATGGATAAAAGCAAAACCTCGACTGTGAGGTAGAACTGTTTATTGTGAGTTAAAAGCCTCTAGTGTAAAATTGCTCTAGATCAAAGAATTTCCAAACAAATGGAAAATAAACAGGACAGAGTTGAAATTTATTCTACTAACTACATTAGAAAATTCATCTGTATGTGATGAAGTAAGAAATGATACGGATAAAAACAAAAAAATCTAAGTTCTTTACCAATAAAAAGTTGCCTTACCAGGAAAAATAAGAAAATGTATTTAAAAGGATCTCCTCAAAGTTATTCCATAACAGGTGGGATTATTCGCAGCAGTGGGAGGAAAATATTTGGAAGTAACGAAGAGTTAGGCTCTTTTTTTTTACCCAAGCAGGTTGAAACAAAATGTCCACAAAGCTTCACTTGTGGTTCAATGATAATACCACAGAGAACATTGTTTTAACATTGCACTTTTTAAAAGGACCAAATAATATTAATGCTAAAAAATGTCGGTGATTAAACTTTCTTCCTCTTAACATTGTGCTTAGTTTATCTTAAGCAATAATTTGTTTTTATTAATTTTTCTTATGAGAATTTACACTAGAGTTACACTGTAGTTTCTTGTTGAATTTTCATAAACCAGTCTTCTTCCTTGATGTTTGAAATATGTCATTAGAATTATACTTGAAATACTTTACATATTTAGTCTCATCAATTCTTTTTCATGAATTCTGAACACTGAAATATTTAGTGGTTGTGTGAGCTAGATATTGGGATACTGGTGTGGGGTCAGCTGGTCCTAGGACCGCGGATCCCTACGATCAAGCAATCACGACATTATTCACTCGGCTGCTGGATCCCGCGTGTCACTTGGCCCCGTGGAGTCAGGGCCACATCCTGGGAGTTGGGTTTTGCTGCCAGGTACCCTTCTATCTTAGAGACTGCTTGGGGACTGTCTGTTGGGTTTGTTAGGAACCAGTGTCAGAGGGCACTTGTGAGTGCTGGAATTCAAATACCATGATTAGTAAAGCCCACACCCATTATCCGAATGCTGGTAACAGGGAGGGTGAGCTGGGGAGCTTGGCAGTCTCTTTGCTTTTTATGGTGAAAGACAGACAACTGTCTTTTGTAGATAAGGCTTAGGAAGCACCAGTGAGATTATTCCAACATGGAAGTGATGACAGATGATAGGAGCTAAGACACTCACTCCTGGGTTTTAAGTAAAAGGGTCGCACCTGCTCATCATGGAGAAAGAAGCCGAGGAGGTAGGAAAAGCCCAGCATGGTCTCCCGGTGCATGCCGTGGTGCAGGTCATTCTTCAAGAGTTTCTCCTCCAAGACCACATGATACCTGAGTACATCCTCCTCCTGGGCAGCACACAGAAGTGAAAGTCAACCCACAGGTCAACCAAGCCCCAGTCACTTACTGGGCTGCCCCCAGCATGCCCAGCACTGTGGGAATTACCAGAACAATAGCTTGTTGAACTGTAAGGTCTGACCGAGGCATCAGGACGCAGTAGATATTAAATACTAAATCTGAGACACATCACCTCCCACATGGCCAGTCTTCCACGTGGGATGGTCCACAACTCCTGATGTGACCCTAAAACCCGGACTGAGGGCATGAAGCTCAAGGGAGGATTTTAAAGATGATTTCTTTCAAGAGAAGTGTTATGAAGAGAGAGTCCCCACACCCCAGCCTGCCTCTCACCCCAGGGACCACAAGAGGAGATTTGATGGGATGTTTTGAAGAATGTGATCGGTGGCAGATACGGTGGCCTGTGGGACTGGATTGTACTCAGGCCTGAGCAATCTCACTCCACGGATGGCTGGCAGGTTGATCCACTGGGAGGGAGGAGAGGTGTCCCTGCACTGAGACAGGCCACCACTCAATGCTGGCTTGGGACAAGAAATGACATATGTCCTGTGGGCCAGATGTGTGGCAAGGTTGGAGAGAACTGGGACCTTAGGTCTTATCTTAGATAGCGGCCTAGTGGAACAGACAGGCTTCCCCAGGGGAAAAGCTGGAGGTGGGTTCTGGATGCTTAGGGTTGAGGAGGAGATTGATGACTATAGGGCTAGGGTGATGCACTCAGGTCAAGAGGACAGCAGTCAGAGACCACAGTGGTGGGTGGGGTCTCCAGTGAACCACCAAAGCATCGGGGAGGCAGGAAAAGAATATTTTCCATTGAACAGGTTCACAGGGACTGGGGCAGGGCAGGGGAGACAGGATGAAGGTGATTTCTGACCCCTCCCAGGAGCCCTGCTTGTTTATCATGTCAGTTACAAAAGTGTAGGACACTGTCCCTGCCCTTATGGACTTTATAAGCTCCTTGGTGAGCTAAGGCCTGCTCACTTGAAAGGACAACTCATCACACCATATAGATGCTGAAGGGCATGCAGATGGTCTGAACTCAGAGGCAGGAGAGATTTTCTATTGGCTCGGGTGGTGAGCCAGCTTCCCTGAGGAGGCCAGACTGGACTTGAAGAATGGGTGGGGCTATTCTGGAGGTAGTGAAGGCAGAAGGGCAGGCTTTCTGATTGAGGGAGCATTTTGTGCGTGTACGTGTGTTTGTGTGCGTGCACACATGTGCACTTGTATGTCTGTGTGTGTGGGTGGATACGAACAAAGGCATCAGACACCCCTTCGGCTTATTTAGGGTCTCTGAGACCGTCACTCTGGTTAGATCAGGGGGCTTCTGCAGAGAAGAGGTGGGCCCAAGGACGGCTTAGAGGGACTTCAATTGTCCACATTTCATTAGTGTCTCTGTCTCAGGCACCTTATTTGAAGATATAAGGGAAAACAGTGTTTGCTGTGCAAATACAGCTTCAAACATGTCCTCCCATCGTGGAGGCTGGGAGCAGGGCAACCCTGGCTCCTAAGTGAAAATTCTGGAGCCACCACTGAATAGGAGATGAATGGCGGCCAGTTGACAGAGGCCTTAAATACCTGGGAAGGTAGTCTGAACTCAGTCCTGCAAGAAATGGGGATCCACCCAAGGGTGTTAAGGCATAGAGTGGCATGATTGGAGCTTTGTATTCTTTGACAAAATCTTTTGACAAATTTGGACTGTCTAGCCCCAGATGTTAGGAATCAGGGAGGATAGAAGTGGGGAGAAGAGGAGGAAGACAGAGATGACCCACTTTCTCCTCATCCCTGCCGCTGACATTTCAGGGGACCAGGGAGGCCAGGGCGGAGAAGAGGGGTGACCAGGAGGATCCTTCCAGCTTCCTGGGACACCTGCATCCTTGCATAGGGTCCTGACTGTGTGTTCCCAGGGGTGTGAATGAAACACACGGGCAGAGAAAGTCTCTGCACAAGTATCCCTTAAGTATCTGGACACGGACAAGGAAGCTCTGATGAGAGAGTGGAATGGTCCCTGATTGGTGGATTGAAAAATGTTGAGTTTGAATGTTCAGAAATAATTTTCCTGGTTATCATTCCCAATACCTACTAGAGTTGTGACCTTCTTCTCCCGGATGTAATTCTCGATGGCCTCGTTGTTTGGAGCAAACACTGTGTAAGCGTCGGCTGCCTCGATCGCACTGGCCAGGTTATATTGCTGTGGGGGCAAGAGACAAAAACGCGTGAGGGATTCCCCTGTGCAGGTACCCTGAGCCAGCAGGTCGCACAGCGAACGTGGTACTTACAATGACGTAGCCCCGGAAGATGGAATAGTCGGGCATCTGGTCCAGCCGGGTGAGCAGGTTTGGCAAGGAGACAGATAGGCTTCTTTGGGGAACCAGAACCTGGGAAAGGAAGTCCCCAGATTCTGTTAGCATGTGTCCGTAGGACTTGCTGCCCTCCGGTGGGTAGGCTCATGTCGCATGACCAGATGCAATGATAAGGACCACTGCTTGTCCACAGAGTGCCACTGCAAATTTAACAAAGGGCACATTTTCCTCTGACGGTTGGCAACACCAAAGGGGGGTGCGTAGCCTGAGGAGTGACGTGGGCTGGGGGTTAGCCCCATGCCACCCTTGGGACAGGCATGGATATGCAGGGCACGACCTGCACACGTGTTCATGGTGGCCTTGGCAAAGGTGACCACAGTGTCCATGGGCAGGTGTTGGGGGTCCTTAGGGAGCCAGTGCAACCCGGAGGCTAAGCAGAGGACTTGGACCAGTTGACAGGCATCCAGGAATCTTTTGTGGTCACATCACTTCCTCCTCAGTCCAGTTACTTAACCCTGAGGAGCCTTACTCGCCTCATTTGTGAAGTGAGGACAGTCGCATCTACTGTCTTAGGGTTGTGGTAAAAATCCACGAGAGGGCGCCTGGGTGGCTCAGTTGGTTAAGCGACTGCCTTCGGCTCAGGTCATGATCCTGGAGTCCCTGGATCGAGTCCCGCATCGGGCTCCCTGCTCAGCGGGGAGTCTGCTTCTCCCTCTGACCCTCCCCCCTCTCATGTTCTCTCTCTCTCTCAAATAAATAAATAAAATCTTAAAAAAAAAAAAATCACACGAGATAATGTGACATGATATATTCTCCAGGGCCCGTACCTATTGCGCTGTCAATCATTCTAGTTGTCACTATTACCATGTACGAGACTAGGTGCCAATGCTGACGAGGGACACAGAGACACAGCCACCCCCCCCCGCAGGATATGCCATCATGTGGGGGTCTGGGACTATACCGTGAGGAAGAACTATCAGTACAAGAGGGCATAGGGTGCCGAATGAGTTCTACACCCCTAAATCCCATGGAATTATAGGGGAGGAAGAAAGGAGTAAAATCAACATTTATTGAGGGAAGGCCTGCTAAGCAGTAGGCACCGAGAGAGAGAAGGTGTTGTTTTGTTCTCCCTGGGGAAGAAAAATGAGGCTCAGAGAAGTTATGTTGCTTGCCCAAGTTCACATAGCTTGCTATGAGCCGGTACCCAGATGCTGTATGCCATCCTTGATGATATGGGCTGCAGGGATCGGGGAAGGCTTCGAGGAGGAGGTGAGACTTGAATTGGCCCCATGATAATAACGATCAGGACAGGAGATGGTTTGAGGGGCCATTGTACTAACAAGGTGTGGCCATCAGAAATGTAAATAAGGAGAGGTAATTTAATGTTTTTTAAAAAGGTTTTTCATAGGTTTTTAGTAGGAGAGCCAGGATTGGAGAAGAAAAATACCCTTGGTAAGTAATGTTCATTTGCATCGTAAGAAGTCAGAAATCCAGCATAGTTCCCTGCAACTGATCACTTGCTCAAAAATGTGGGTTTCCTTAATGTTTCTTGGTAATACAAGGGAATTGTAAGGTTTTTTTTTTTTTTTGCAAAAGAATGCACCCAGGCATCTTACAAATAGCTTCTCTTTTCTGCACAGGAATAGTTGACCTTTTCTGTAAATTAAAATCAAAAGTGAGTATGGAAGTGGCAAGTGAGGATAATTTTAGTTAAAATGCTATTAGTTAATTGTCTTTTCCAATCTTCCACCTTTCCAAAGTTCCCAATATACCCTAAATTCTAACCTTAATTTTCAATGAAAATCCTAATATAGTAACCTAAAATTATAGGATAGCTTAAAACCCCATTTCCCGCTACACTTTTTTTTCTATTTCGTACCTTTGAATACTGTTGCATTGTGTCTTAGAAGAAAATGAAAATTTCAAAATACTTTTTCTACCCTTTTCCACTTTTTTCCTAGGGCTTCCTTGCCCCATCTTTTTAGGGTGCAATAATGCAGAAAGGGGAGAGGAAAAATAATACATAACCACTTGCCTTTCTTCTAGCTCTTGATTAAGATGTTCACATAAATCAGAAATATAATATATGTGGCCACACTTGAGGGCCTGGTTGCCGAATATAGACTAAGTAACAAATGAGTGTGACTGGATGCAGAGAACCTCTAAGCAGTTTTAACTCACAGAGCACAACCCAGGTACTCTTCCATTAGAGGTAGGGATTTCCACTCCCCCCTCACCGCCCCAGCGCGCCCCCCCACCAGCGCCACACCCCCCACCCCCGGCAAAGATGCTGTGCAGGAGGACGAATAAATGAAGTGAGAAGAGATGCCGTACTTGTGGAAGGTTGCAAGCGCGTACCTTGTTGATGACGTGTATCAGGCCGTTTGTGGCTGCATTATCACCGTCAACTACAGATGCCCCTTCGATCGTGACATTCTGTAGATGCAAACCACAGTGGGGCGGTGAGTCTCCATAGGGTAGGAGATTCAGGAATTGAAACTCTTTCTGGGTTTTATACTTCTCAAGCGGTAGTGACTTTCACACTTCTGACCATGACCCGAAGTTGGAAATATCTTTAAATTGTGACACACTAGGCATCTCTCTCTCTCTCTCTCTCTCTCTCACACACACACACACACACACAATCAAAATAAAGGGATACTTTCCTCTACTATCTGGGAGGCCCCTGAACACCGATTCTATTCTTTTCTACTTCATTCCAAGAGTGCTGGTTGAGGCTCACCAAAGTGATCCTGTAGCCTGAAAAGTCCTACTGACAGTGTTGTGGGTTGCATTTGTCCTCAGTATTCATGTGTTGGAGTCCTAACCCCCCATACTTCAGAATGGGACCTTATTTGGAAAGAAGGTCTTTACAGAGGTAATCACGTTACAATGAGAGCATTGCAGTCAGCCCTACTCCAACATGGCTGGTGTTCTTATAAGAGGAGGAAATGGGACACAGAGCGCGGTACGGGGAGAACGCTGTGTGACCATGAAGAAGGTCATCTACAAGCCAAGGAGAGAGCCTGGAACAGCCCCTTTCAATAGCCCTCACGAGCCAACCTTGCTCACCCCTTGATCTTGGACCTCTGGCCTCTAGAACGTGAGACAAAATTTTCTGTCGTTGGAACCACTCACTTTGTGGTACCTTGTTATAACAGCCCTAGCAAACTCATATGGACAGTACCTGACTTTCCTGATCAGAATCCAGCTACTTTGCAAGAATATTAATTACCCAACCTACACACTCACCAGCCACCAACCAACTATGATACAGCTGGGCTCCACTCTCTCTACTTTCCTTTCTTCTCTCCACCCCTACCCTTTATTTGAAATCCCTCCTGGGACCCTCGGTGCAGAAGGGGACTTGAGTCTCACCCTGACGCCTCCCAACTCACATCAGCAGAGGCCCTGGAGAAAAAATTCCTGGCCACCTTGCACATCTCTTTTGGTTAAAGGGAGACATTTATATCAGACCAAGTAACTCATTAAAAATGTGTCTTTGGTGGTTAACTCCTCCAGGTCAATGGTCCCATTGATTTGTCTCTGACTGCACAGAACCCAGGATAAGCCTGCCCAGGGTGGGTGTTCAGTTCATGCTTGCTAAAAGAATCAATGATTTAGAACACCGACAGAACATAACCCCATTGTCTGATATAAGTATGTAATGTACTAGAATTAGACCAATAATATGGAAAGAATCCATGGAACTGCATGCAACTCTTTTCTGCTTTCTGCAAAGAATGATCTGATGAGGCACATACGTTCCGGTAGTACCAGGCATAGGCCCTTTCCACAGTGCTCACACTGATGAGTAGGAAGGTAAAAATGTTTTAGATCAGTAATTCCAAAACATTTTTGATGGTCCACTGATGTAGCGGTTCTCACTTTCCAGTAAAATCTTCATTTTCATCTTGCGCAATTCATAGCAAGAGCTTTCAAACACTGGCCTATGCAGCAAGGCAGCCAAACTTCCCGGTGCAAGACTGAATCCAAGTCCGGACACATGCAGCAAGTGCCAGAAGCTGAGCCTCCGCGGGGCTGCGGTTCTTCCTTGTGCACCGCCCTGACTCCAGCACTTAGTGCCTGGGGCATCATAGGTGCTCAGTAAAGATTGGTTGACTGACTCTAACTTGACATAAAATTTTAGCAACCTATAATGACTCATTAGTAGGTCACCGGGAACCCGTTTTTAGTTCAGCATATACGAATCGCCACAGTTGTGAAACTGGGCAACCTTTACCCAGAACCATGGAAAGGTTTGCCTTTCTGGATCAGTCTGTGGTCTGTCAAGAAGAGCCTTGTGGCCAAGCTGTGGGTGCAGGACCACATTTTATAGCATCACTACTACAAAGTAACGTGTGTGTGGGGGTGTGTGTGTATCAGTGTGTTGACACTCAACATATATTGATACACACACACACACACACACGTTGTTGAGGCTGGGTGATGTCTACGTGGAAGTTCTATTCTTGGTCTGTTTTTGCTCATGTTTGGAAATTTCCATAACACAAACATTAAAAGTGGGCAGTGCAAACATAGATGACACGTTTCCACTTAACAGACAGATTACAGCACTCTCTTACCCCATCTGCCTTCGCCAGGTGAAGGAAGTTACCGGGCAAAGACGTTGCCAGCATGTCCGAAGGTGACAGAGCCTGCAGATCTGCCACTCTGTATGTGCCCAGCAGCATATGGTTTCTAAAGCAACAGTCCAGAAGGGCTATCATGAAATATCAGTGCATGAAGGAGTATCATTGAATAGTTAAGAAAATAGGTTCTGGAGCCAGATGGCCAGATTCAAACTCTTCCCCTGTGATTATCAGCCATGACACCTTGGGTTAGTTATGGAATCACCCCACACCTCAGTTTACACATCTGTAAAATAGGTGTAATTTTAATGCCTATCTCATAGGGTTGTTGGGAGGATGAACTGAGTTATACATAAGGTAGTTATCACAGAGTTAGCTGTCAATAATGTTAACTATTACCATCCTTGGGAAGGAGGTGAGGAATGTTCTAGAACATGCTGAGTTCCATGGATCTCAAGGACCATGTGGCTTCCCTCTACTGAATGTCGTTCACATGGATGCCAGTGAGATATCATGAAGAATAAAATACATAATACCTACTTTATTAGGGCTGGAATATTGCTCTTGGACAACCAAAAGGTTTTTTCATCTTGATCCATGTCCTCAATAGCTTGCTGGGAAGGCACGAGGACAGTGAGGTTTGAGGCAGCTGACAGCATGGGTTGTAGAGAAGCATTCTGAATCACAGGAGGGAAAGAAGGTGGGCCTGGCTCACTTTAGAGGTCAAACAGGGAGGACTGAATGCTTAGCAGAGATGACAATTTCCCAGCGGAAGTAATTTCAGGGACATTGGAAGAGTCCTAGGGACCCCTTTCCCAAATCCATCCCACCCACTGGCTGGTGTCTCATATTCTCCTCTGAGACACATTCTTTTTACTTAAATGTAAAGGCAAATTTTCCCCATCCCCCGGTCAGACTTTGAATCATTATCAGTCATTTATCCTTTAGTCTAAACAAAGAACCAGAGAATAGTCTTGATGATCCTTTGTGTGGGTGTATGAACTTTAAGAACCCTTGGCTGCCCTAGGAATAAGGATGGTGGGAAGATTTCAGGAAGTGTTTCAGCATGGGGGACAGACTGGAAGCCTGAAATCAAATTTGACCTACTTTTTATTCTAACCTAGAGCTAGTTTTGGGTAGGCGTGGTGCGTTTATGTTTAACAACTGATTCCAGGAAAAACAAACAAAAACCCCTGGTTTGTAACATTCCCTGATTTCTGTGGTGTATATCCTTCCACCATGGCTGATTTCAAGCCATGAATGTGACAGCATTGAAGGTGAGTTTGGGGAAGATGTGCTCTCGTGCGTTGGGATGAGCTGGGTCCACTACCCCACTGGGCAAGTGTATGCATGTCGACTCGGTCTATACGGAAATCATCACGTGCAATAGGGCTCTCAGTCCCTGCTCTTTCATGTGGTGGGGCAGAGAGGCCCCACAGAGAAGCAATCAGGAGCTGTCCTAGAGTGGTGCTGACTAGGCTCTCTTTATCTTGGCATATGTCTACTCAAAGGGGATAAACTAGAGGTTGTGATGGCATCTTGGTCCACTCATGCAAAGATGACAGAGATACAGACAAATGGGTATAGTGGGGATTGGATTCTTCATCATAGAACTTTCCAGGGGAGAGGAAGAAGCTCCTCGGAGCATGCTGGGACAAGAGCTAAGCGCCCATGGATTATCCCAGATTACAACTATAAATCCCAAATCCAACTCGGTGAATTGCAATAATGAATTATGTTGACTCTTTAAAAAGACCTCTCGATGAGTGAAATGATACATATATATTTGAATTGGTTGAAAAGTTGACCCCTCCAGCTTAACCTAGACCAGAAGTTCTTAGTGCTTAGACCAGAAGCTTTTAAAATGCACTCATGCCCAGGGGACACCTCTGACCAATCAAGTCAGAGTGTCTGTGGCGGGAGCCTAGGCATGGCTATTTAAACAGCGCATTCCCTGTGACTCCATGTGATTCCAGTGTGGTCAGGGTGGAGGGCCACTGTTCTAGGCAATTGCTTTCCCTCCTTCCTACCAGCTGCGTTTTCAGTTTTGTGGGATATGCATTCCAAATTTCTAAAATTGTATACATTTCTCAAGTTCCAACAAAGGTACTCACGTTTATCCACTGGTTAAATATAGCTGCTGCAGAGAGAAATGACAATTCCTTATTCATGTCGTGCAGGGGAGGGAGGGAGAGATCAGAGAGAACACGAGAGAAGGAATAATGAATAAGCATAATCACAGCACGTCTGAGCAGCATGCACTTCGCCTTCCCGGGGCTGGGCTCAGCTCATTTTCCTGGCCGACATGAATGGGGGTCAGCTAGTTGAATTTCCATGTTGCCAGAGCTGCACAGATCTTTCATGCTTAGCGGCTCCATTATCCTCTCTACTCGACATAAAGAAGTAATTCCAGAAACTTCAGATGCAAAAACCACCTGAAGCTCTTCCAAGTCAGAATTTAGTTTTTAAGGTCATGGCCCCAGGCCCTAGGGAGGGTCACAGAGCTCAATGACAGCTCCCTCTCAGAGCCAACATTGAGGAGTGGCGTGGAATGTGGAGCCAGACCACCTGGGTTTTCATTCTGGTTTGGCCGTTGCCTAAATCCTTAGGCAAGTTACTTGGTCTCTCTGGGCCTCAATGTTCTTGCCTGTGAGATGGGGATAATAAAAGCTCCAGCTGATAGGTTGCTGTGAAATTTGGAGGAGTTGCTGTTTTGAAGTGCTTAGAATAGAGGCTGGCATGCGGGACATGCTCAGGAAGTCTTAGCCACTCTTCTTTTTCATCGTTCCACCGTGGGACTGTGTTGATGAACATATATACTGAGCAGCCGCAGTGGGCACCAGGTGGGAGCGAAGGGAGGGCATACGAAAGGGAAAAGATGACCTCCATTCTCACACAACTTACACTTGTTTGGGGGAAGTTAAGACTCGAAGAGGTACCCACAGCACCAGTAGCTCAGTGATGTGTGCAGGTGTGATAAAGGAAGGTCTAGACCTTGAGTTGAAAAAGACTGGGTTCACGTCCTGAGTCTGCCATTTACTAGCTGTGTGATCTTGGGTAAGTCACTTGACCTCTCTGAGAACTCAAGTCTTATCTGAAAAATGAATATGATGATGCTTTGCTTCTGGACTTATGAATATTACATGCATTTATGTAGGGGAAAGCATTTTAAAACTATTAAACACCATGGGAATGGCAAGAGTTATTGTATGCAATTTACACCAACGCAATAAATCTCAGAGTTGTCTCAATTCCTTTTTGAAAGTGGTTGAGGTTATCAAATGAATTAGTGAATAGCTGTCAGATAGTCAGTGAGTAAACCGACAGGTGCAAGAGCTGAGATGCATGAGTAATCCCTTGAAGGGAGGGATCGGTCCAAGGGAGAGGACAATGCAGGTGGGACCTGAGCTGATGGCAGAAAGAGGGGAGGCTGGGTCCCTGGGACAGGCGAGCCGAGCTGGCAAAGGGACAGCGAGGCTAAGCTGTTGCAAGAAGAGTGAGCAGCTTGCTTTCCTGTATGATCTCCTGGAGGACATGACTGGCATCCTAGCTAAGAGATTTTTTTTTTTTTTTTTTTTAGATTTTGTGTCTTTATTATTTTGCATAGGAGTTCATTTTGCAGACTTACCACGGCTGCATTTCCGTAGCACAGAAGGCCATCTCCTTCATAGCCCTCCTGGCAAACACAACTCCAGAGGCCAGAAGTAAACTGACAGGTTGCCTGATAAAACAGAGATAAAAGAAAGAGTTTGCCTTCCTTACAGAATAGTTAGCTCTGAGTTACATCCGTGAGCCCTCAGTCTCCATCGAAGGTGAAAACTGCAACTTTGGGGTTGAAAGACGCTGGGAGTGACCCGCAGACCCTGCCCTATCCCAAAGAAAGGCTCCTGTCTGTGTGTTTGGTACAGCTCCTGCTTAATCACAATTAAATTCTTCCTTTTCATCCCTCGCAGATTTAGCATGTAAAAGTACAGGACACACAGTTAATTTGAGTTTCAGATAAACAAGTAAGTTTTAGTATAAGTATGTCCCATGTAATGTTTGGGGCCCACTGGTGAAAGACAATTATCGTATGGTTTCACTCATACGTGGAACATAAGGAATAGCATGGAGGGCCACAGGGGAAGGGAGGGAAAACTGAATGGGAAGAAATCAGAGAGGGAGACAAACCGTGAGAGACTCTGGACTCCGGGAAACAAACTAAGGGTCACAGAAGGGAGGGGGGTGGGGGATGGGGTGACTGGGTGATGGGCATTAAGGAGGGCACGTCTGGTGATGAGCACTGGGTGTTACATGCAACTAATGAATCGTTGAACACTACATCAAAAACTAATGTACTATATGCTGGCTAAATGAACGTAATAAAAAAAAAGAATTGCCAGGTTTAACAAATAAAAAATACCAAGTTAAATGTGAATTTTGGAGAAGGTCTGGATAATTTTTAGTATAAATTTGTCCCATGTAATCGTTGGAACATACTTGTGCTGAAGGATTGTTATTTATTTGACATTCTGATTTAGCTGGGAAGCCTGTATTTTATCTGGCAATCATACGTTGGTTCTTCCAACCTTTGGATTGGAGTGACATTTGTAAGAACATTCTGCCTGGTGACTCTCTTTGGGAGGAGGAGAGATTTTGTTCATTAGTAGTTCTAGATAAGAAATAAACTAGTCTTCTTTCTTTCTCAAGTAACTTTTTTTTTCTTTTTGAAGTAAGGATAAAAGAAATGAAGTAACTCACCAGTGGATGACATTTCCCAGTTTGTTCCAAGCATGAAGTTACTGCTTCACAATCAATCCCATTGCCTCGAAATCCTTCCTTGCACTCACACTCATTCTGTAATTCCAAGAACAAAAGGGATTATTGAAAACAATTGCCTTTCATGCCTTTCATCACGTGGCCTGAAAAATGAGCCACAGAAATCATAGCTGTTTGGCCTTCTGAGTTAATGTCTTCCGTTTGTTACACTTCCGATTCCAGAGCTGTTGCTCTACACATTCTGTGTTACATTTCATCTGAGAGTTCCCTGGTACTTTCTTTCTGAACTCATTATCCCAGAAGTGCCATACGTGATACAAGACAACCCATGAAGTTGTGGGAAGAAAGGAATAGAATTTCTACTTAAGAATTTTTATCTTTAACAATATAAGTATCATTTGCTGTGTGTGCTTTATAAGGTAAATGTGTGTATCTTTTTTTTTTTTTTTAGAGATTTTTATTTATTTATCTGACAGAGAGATAACGAGAGCAGGAACACAAGCAGGGGGAGTGGGAGAGGGAGAAGCAGACTCTCTGCTGAGCAGGGAGCCTGAAGCGGGGCTCAATCCAAGGACCCTGGGATCATGACCTGAGCTGAAGGCAGATGCTTAACAACTGAGCCACCCAGGCGCCCCTGTGTGTATCTTTTTCAAAAAAGACTATTTATTTATTTGAGAGAGAAAGAGAGTGAGAGCGAGCAGGAGCACGAGCAGGGGGGAGGGGATCCTGGGGTCATGACCTGAGCCGAAGGCAGACGCTTAGCCGACTGAGCCACCCAGGCTCTGGTAAATGTGTGTATCTTAGATGCAAGTATATGTATACAGAAGCACCTGTATATATCTTTATGGGGCAGGGCAAGACCTTATAAACATGGGTGTTTAATCCTTTCCACTTGGTATTGGGGTAGCACCTCCCTGTACCCCCAACCCTGACATGTTGATCCAAACACGGTTTGTCTTTTTACATAAATATTCATGGTAATTAGGATTTCTGCCTAATATCTAAAAGTTCTCAAGCCAGCTAGTAACTACTGAGGGCAATCCTAGATATGGTCTATTTTATTTCTTATATGGCACCATTAAAAAAAAAAACCTTTCTCTTCCTCCATCTCCCACATCAGGATGCCTTTATCCACAGAAAGAAAGAGCAGAGAGGGGATAGATACTGTTATGGGTTGAACTGGGTCCCGACCAGTCCCAATTCATATGTTGAAATCTTGATACCAGGACCTCAGAATGTAACTTTACTTGGAAATAGGATTATTATTATGTAATTAGTTAAGATGTGGTCACACTGGAGTAGGGTGGGTCCCCAATCCAATATGACTGGTGTCCTCATGAAAAGGGGAGATTTGGACCCAGACATGCGCACAGGGAGAACGCCCTGTGAACATGAAGGCAGAGACCAGGATGATGCGTGGATAAGCCGAGGAACTCCAGAGATTGTCTGCAAACCACCCAGAGCTTGGAGAGAGGCATGCAACAGATTCTTCTTCAAGCCCTTCGAAGGAGCCAAGCCCGGCCACACCTTGATCTTGGACCTCTAGCCTCCAGAACTGTGAGACAATACATTTTTGTTGTTCTATGCTACCCAGTTAGTGACGCTTTGTTTCGGCAGCCTTAGCAAACTAATATAGAGACCAGGACATATTTTGTCTTTCTCAAATGCAATCTGGCAATTTAGGTGAAAAAAAAAAACCAAATGCAATGTTTGCCAAATGTGTGGTGAGACATAAGACGGCAGTGAGCTCTTTCATGAATAGGACATTTCCGTGGCCACGGTCATGGTACACTTGTCATCACCTCCTCAGTGTGGACTGGTTCCTGAGCAGTAGCTTTCTCTGCCTCAGTCTCCCTTACCCAGGTTAAGTGAAAGTGATCACAGACTGCAGAGTGCTACAGAATTACAAAGTGTGGTCAGGTGACTAAGAGGGGGCTCTGGAGTCAGACCATCTGAGTGTGAATTTCACAACATGATTTATTTTCTGTGCAATGAGGGCAAATTACTTAGCTTCTTTGTGCCTCAATTTTCTCTTTTGTAAGATGGGAATAATGCTAGTAACCTATGTGGCAGCAAAAGCAAAAATAAACACACGGGGCCACATCTAACTAAAAAGCGTTTGCATAGCAAAGGAACCCATCAACAAAATGAAAAGGGAACCTACTGAATGGGAGAAGATAGTTGCAAATTACGTATCTAATAAATGGCTAATATCCAAAATATACAAAGAACTCATGCAATGCAATAACAAAACAACAAACAATCCTTTTAAAAAAATGGGCAAAAGATGCGAATAGACATTTTTCCAACGAAGACACACAGATGGCCAACAGGACATGAAAAAACGCTCGATATCACTTGGCATCAGGGAAATGCAAATCAAAACCACGATGAGATATCACCTCACACCTGTTAGAATGCCAATTATCAACAAGACAAGAAATAACAAGTGTTGGCGAGGATGTGGAGAAAAGGGAACTCATGCACTGTTGGTGGGAATGTAAATTGGCGCAGCTACTGTGGAAAACAGTACGGTGGTTCCTCAAAAAACTAAAAATAGAACTACCGTACCTTCAAGCAATTTCATTTGTGAGTATTTATCCAAATTTGAAAAGATAATCTGCACTCCCATGCTCATTGCAGCATTATTTATAATAGCCAAATATGAAAGCAACCCAGGTGTCCACTGATAGAGGAAAGAAGAGGTGGTATATACACACAATGGACTATCACTCAGCCATAAAAAAGAATGAGATCTTGCCATTTGCAACAGCATAGATGGACCTGGAGGGCATTATGCTAAGTGCAGTAAGTCAGACAGAGAAAGACAAATACCATATGATCTCAATTATATAGGGAATCTTAAAAATAAAAAAAACCCAAAAAACCCAAACACCAAAACCTGAGACCAAGCACATAGATAAAGAGAACAGATTGGTGCTTGCTAGAGGCTGGGGTGGGGGTGGGAGTGGGCTAAATGGGTGAAGAGTGTCAAAGGTAAAAAAAAAAAAAAGTACCTACGTCACAGGTTTGTTGTGACAACCGATTCTCACTACTACAAATGATTCAGAAGCTGCAGTAAGTTCTAGACGAAGTAGTGCTGCGTCCAGCGAGGAAAAGCCACTGGAGGAGTCCCGCTCCCCTTTGCTCTCTGCCTCGTCCCACCTACCTGCCCGGGGCCGATGTACAAACAGGTTGCGTTGGCGTGGCAGCCGCCGGTGCTGGCCAGCAGGCACTTGTCGATCTCCGAGCAGTCTCGGCCGTCCCCGGTCCATCCCTGCTGGCACACGCATGTGTGGGTCCCCATGCCCGTGCTGACACACTCCGCCTGCAGGGGGACAAGCCGCAGCGAATCTCGGAAACCTCAGTCTAGCCACATGATTCCCAAAGCAAAAAACGGGGGTACCTTCTAGAAACGCGTGTTTGCATGGAGTGCGATAGAAATGATTACAATGCACGTTTGCACCGAATCCATGGAAAACAGGAGACGATTTAAAGACCAGCATTGCTTGTTGTGGGCCAGCTAATGGCCAGCCCCCAGCACGTCGCTGTCATTTACGGAGCCGGGGACTGTTCTTAGTGTTTCGCCGGTAGAAGCCATCATCTGGAGGAAGGGCGCGTTAGTATCTGCTTTACAGATAAGGAAGCTAGGCTGAGAGGAGGTAAGTAACTTGCCTAAGGTCACACAGCTACAAAACTTCAGGAACCCTGTTTCTAGAACGCTGAAGTGCAAGCTCCCAACCACTGTAGCAACTCCAGACCTCTCCGGAGGAGCACCCAGCAGCCGGGAAGCTGAAGGACAGCGTGATAGGGAGGAGGTGCCGGGGACGCTGTCCAAAGGGTGGGACCAGCCCCAGGGGCGTCTGGTGGGATGGGGCGAGGCATTCCCGTCTAATTTCACCCTCGGAGCCTGACAGCTACGGAAGAGGTTTCGGCACGGGAGAAACATGATCCGATCCGCTTCAAGTCACTCTGGCTGTGGGTGGACAATGAATGCCCCAGGGGCGGCGGGGGGCGGGGGCGTGGAAGCAGCAGGGAGACCAGTTAGTAAACTGTACGTAGGGCTCGGTGGTGGTGAGAGGGATGTTCAAAAGCAGTGGTAAGTTTGGGCTATACCCCTGAGCTATACCTAATAATAGAACTTAGGGCAAGTCACTTAGCGTCCCCAAGCCTCAGTTTCTTTATCAGTACAATGGGGATAAGAACATTCTTTATTGGGTTGGGGGGTTAGGGAAAGCAAATGAGATCATGGACATTCAAGTCACTTGTAAGCTGTAACGTTTGAATCACTGGTTTATTGCTAATAACCTCCAATATCTGATTCTCAGGCTCTGTTTTCAAGAGCCCAAAGACCCCCGCTCCTGTGGTCCTGGGACATTCCCTGCACACGCGGATTTAGGAAGTGGAGGCTCACAGAAGGCATCATCTTTAAAACTCAAGGTTCCAGCAAATGTGCTTCATGCAACAGAAAGCCTTCAGATACCGCTTTTTGCAAGGCCGTCCCTCAGGATTTCCTAAGAAACCAGGCAGCTTGGAAATAAAGAGCAACACTCACATTTCGGCTGCAGCCCCCCGGCGTGATTTCTGCACAAGGGTCCATTTCTGAACAGAGGCTTCCATCCCCTTTGTATCCTGCTTTGCAAACACAGCTGCAACGCAGAGCACATGCACAAAATCAGCCCCAGAACTGTAAGCAGCAACCACCCAGGAAAAGGCTGGCCAGCCGGGGGTGAACCGGCTCCTGGCCAGACATTTGACAGGTTGCCCTTGTGGGCGGAGCCAGTGTACCAAGGTGGTCACAGGCACTTGGAGGGGGGGTCTGTGGTCAGACATGCCTGGGTGGGAATCCAGGCTCCACCTCTTAGCAGTCGTGTGACCCTGGATGAGCCCCTTAACCTCTGGGGGACTTTGTTTCCTTATCTGGAAAATGAGTCTAAAATCTCCCGCATAACGCTGTGAAGATTAAGTGAGCGAGATAAAGCATGTGGAACATTTAGCAGGTGCCTGCCTGCACTTGCGCCTTGTGAGGCCCGACTTCCGGCAGCTTTGTTGCTTTGATGGGGCTGGAATCTGCCTCTAGTTATTATCCGTGGCTCTGGAGAGAACAACTACCATCTCTTCTACGAGACAGTTTTTTTTTTTTTTTCAATTTTATTTATTTATTTGAGAGAGAGAGAGCGAGAGAGCACAGAGGACAGGAGCTGAGGGAGAGGGAGAGAGAATCTCAAGCAGACTTCCC